AAAGCTTGTTGCCGTAGTCCAGTCAAGTATGTCAATATATAGCTTGTTGCCGTAGTCCAGTCAAGTATGTCAATATAAAGCTTGTTGGCATAGTCCAGTCAAGCATGTCAATATAAAGCTTGTTGCCGTAGTCCAGTCAAGTATTTCAATATAAAGGTTGTTAGCGTAGTCCAGACAAACATGTCAATACAAAGCTTGTTGGCGTAGTCCAGTCTAGTATGTCGATATGATCCCTTGCTGGCATAGTCCAGTCAAGTATGTCAATATAAAGCTTGTTGGCATAGTCCAGTCAGGTATGTCAATATAAAGCTTGTTGGCGTAGTCCAGACAAGTATGTCAATATAAAGGTTGTTAACGTAGTCCAGACAAGTATGTCAATATAAAGGTTGTTGCTATGGTCCACTCAAATATGTAAATATAAAGCCAGTATGCGTAGTCCAGTGAAGTAAGTCAATATAAAGCTTGTTGGCATAGTCCAGTCAAGTAAGTCAATATAAAGCTTGTTGGCATAGTCCAGTCAAGTAAGTCAATATAAAGGTTGTTGCCATGGTCCAGTCAAATATGTCAATATAAAGCCAGTTGGGGTACTCCAGTCTAGTATGTCGATATAAAGCTTGTTGGGGTCCAGTCACGTATGTCAATATAAAGCTTGTTGGCGTAGTCCAGTCTTGCATGTCGATATAAGGCTTGTTGCCATAGTCCAGTCAAGTATGTCAATATAATGCTTGTTGGCGCAGTCCAGTCTAGTATGTCGATACCATGCTTTATTGACAGTGTCGAGTCAAGTATGTCGATGCCATGTTTTGTTGACAATGTCGAGTCAAGTATGTCGATATCATACTTTATAGAAGCAGTTAATTTGTCGATACAATACCTTGCTGGCATAGTGCCCAGTCAAGTATGTCAATATACATTGTTGGCATAGTCCAGTCAAGTATGTCAATATAAAGCTTGTTGGCAGAGTCCAGTCAATGTCAATATGTCAATATAAAGCGGCTTGTTGGCATAGTCCAGTCAAGCATGTCAATATAAAGCTTGTTGGCAGTAGTCCAGTCATGTTGGCGTCAGTCAGTTATGTCGATGTCAGCTTGTTATGTCAATATACAGCTTGTTGGCGTAGTACAGTCAGGTATGTCGATACCATGCTTTGTTGACAGTGCCGAGTCAAGTATGTCGATATGATGCTTTGTTGACAGTGTCGAGTCAAGTATGTCGATGCCATGTTTTGTTGACAGTGTCGAGTCAAGTATGTCGATATCATGCTTTGTTGACAGTGTCGAGTCAAGTATGTCGATATCATGCTTTGTTGACAGTGTCGAGTCAAGTATGTCGATATCATGCTTTGTTGACAGTGCCGAGTCAAGTATGTCGATACCATGCTTTGTTGACAGTGTCGACTCAAGTATGTCGATGTCATGTTTTGTTGACAATTTCGACTCAAGTATGTCGATGCCATGTTTTGTTGACAGTGTCGACTCAAGTATGCCGATATCATGCTTTGTTGACAGTGTCGAGTCAAGTATGTCAATACCATGCTTTGTTGACAGTGTCGATTCAAGTATGTCGATGCCATGCTTCGTTGACAGTGCCGAGTCAAGTATGTCGATACCATGCTTTGTTGACAGTGTCGAGTCAAGTATGTCGATGTCATGTTTTGTTGACAATGTCGACTCAAGTATGTCGATGCCATGTTTTGTTGACAGTGTCGACTCAAGTATGTCGATATCATGCTTTGTTGACAGTGCCGAGTCAAGTATGTCGATACCATGCTTTGTTGACAGTGTCGAGTCAAGTATGTCGATGTCATGTTTTGTTGACAATGTCGACTCAAGTATGTCGATGCCATGTTTTGTTGACAGTGTCGACTCAAGTATGTCGATATCATGCTTTGTTGACAGTGTCGAGTCAAGTATGTCGATGCCATGTTTTGTTGACAGTGTCGACTCAAGTATGTCGATACCATGCTTTGTTGACAGTGTCGAGTCAAGTATGTCGATGTCATGTTTTGTTGACAATGTCGACTCAAGTATGTCGATGCCATGTTTTGTTGACAGTGTCGACTCAAGTATGTCGATACCATGCTTTGTTGACAGTGTCGAGTCAAGTATGTCCATATGATGCTTTGTTGACTGTGTCAAGTGTCTCGATATAAAACCTTGCTGGTATAGTCCAGTCAAGAATGTCAATATATAGCTTGTTGGTATAGTCCAGTCAAGTATGCCAATATAAAGCTTGTTGGCGTAGTCTAGTCAAGTATGTCGATACCATGCTTTGTTGACAGTGTTGAGTCAAGTATGTCGATGCCATGTTTTGTTGACAGTGTCGACTCAAGTATGTCGATATCATGCTTTGTTGACAGTGCCGAGTCAAGTATGTCAATACCGTGCTTTGTTGACAGTGTCGAGTCAAGTATGTCAATACCATGCTTTGTTGACAGTGTCGAGTCAAGTATGTCCATCTGATGCTTTGTTGACTGTGTCAAGTGTCTCGATATAAAACCTTGCTGGTATAGTCCAGTCAAGAATGTCAATATATAGCTTGTTGGCATAGTCCAGTCAAGTATGCCAATATAAAGCTTGTTGGCGTAGTCTAGTCAAGTATGTCGATACCATGCTTTGTTGACAGTGTCGAGTCAAGTTTGTCCATATCATACTTTGTTGACAGTGTGAGGTTTGTCGATATAATACCTTGCTGGCATAGTCCAGTCAAGCATGTCAATATAAAGCTTGTTACCGTAGTCCAGTCGAGCATGTCAATACAAAGCTTGTTGGCATAGTCCAGTCAAGCATGTCAATATAAAGCTTGTTGGCATAGTCCAGTCAAACATGTCAATATAAAGCTTGTTGGCATAGTCCAGTCAAGCATGTCAATATAAAGCTTGTTGCCGTAGTCCAGTCAAGTATGTCAATATATAGCTTGTTGCCGTAGTCCAGTCAAGTATGTCAATATAAAGCTTGTTGGCATAGTCCAGTCAAGCATGTCAATATAAAAGTTGTTGCCGTAGTCCAGTCAAGTATTTCAATATAAAGGTTGTTAGCGTAGTCCAGACAAGTATGTCAATACAAAGCTTGTTGGCACAGTCCAGTCAAGTATGTCAATATAAAGCTTGTTGGCATAGTCCAGTCAAGTATGCCAATATAAAGCTTGTTGGCATAGTCCAGTCAAGTATGCCAATATAAAGCTTGTTGGCATAGTCCAGTCAGGTATGCCAATATAAAGCTTGCTGGCGTAGTCTAGTCAGGTATGTCGATACCATGCTTTGTTGACAATGTCGAGTCAAGTATGTCCATATCATACTTTGTTGACAGTGTTAATTTTGTCGATATAATACCTTGCTGGCATAGTCCAGTCAAGTATGTCAATATAAAGCTTGTTGGCACAGTCCAGTCAAGCATGTCAATATAAAGCTTGTTGGCATAGTCCAGTCAAGCATGTCAATATACAGCTTGTTGACGTGGTCTAGTCAGGTATGTCGATACCATGCTTTGTTGACAGTGTCGAGTCAAGTATGTCCATATCATACTTTGTAGACAGTGTTAATTTTGTCGATACAATACCTTGCTGGCATAGTCCAGTCAAGTATGTCGATATAATACATTGCTGGCATAGTCCAGTCAAGTATGTCAATATGCAGCTTGTTGGCAGAGTCCAGTCAAGTATGTCAATATAAAGCGGGTTGGCATAGTCCAGTCAAGCATGTCAATATACAGCTTGTTGCCGTAGTCCAGTCAAGCATGTCAATACAAAGCTTGTTGGCATAGTCCAGTCAAGCATGTCAATATACAGCTTGTTGGCGTAGTACAGTCAGGTATGTCAATATAAAGCTTGTTGGCGTAGTACAGTCAGGTATGTCAATATAGTACAGCTTGTTGGCGTAGTACAGTCAGGTATGTCGATACCATGCTTTGTTGACAGTGTCGAGTCAAGTATGTCGATATCATGCTTTGTTGACAGTGTCGAGTCAAGTATGTCCATATCATGCTTTGTTGACAGTGTCGAGTCAAGTATGTCGATATGATGCTTTGTTGACAGTGTCGAGTCAAGTATGTCAATACCATGCTTTGTTGACATTGTCCAGTCAAGTATGTCGATACCATGCTTTGTTGACAGTGTCGAGTCAAGTATGTCGATACCATGCTTTGTTGACAGTGTCGAGTCAAGTATGTCAATACCATGCTTTGTTGACAGTGTCGAGTCAAGTATGTCGATACCATGCTTTGTTGACAGTGTCGAGTCAAGTATGTCGATACCATGCTTTGTTGACAGTGTCGAGTCAAGTATGTCGATACCATGCTTTGTTGACAGTGTCCAGTCAAGTATGTCGATACCATGCTTTGTTGACAGTGTAGAGTCAAGTGTGTCAATACCAGTTTTGTTGACATTGAACAGTCAAGTGTGTTCATATCATACCTTGTTGACAGTGACCAGTCAAGTTTGTTCATGTTATGCTTTGTTGACAGTTACCAGTCAAGTATGTCGATGCCATTCTTTGTTGACATTGAACAGTCAAGTGTGTTCATATCATACCTTGTTGACATTGACCAGTCAGGTATGTTCATATTATGCTTTGTTGACAGAGACCAGTCACGTATGTCAATACCATTTTTGTTGAAATTGACCAGTCAAGTTTGTCCATATCATTCCTTCCCCGACCGCGTCATACCAAAACACGTTAAAATATGGTACTTGTTGGTCCCTGCCTGGCGCTCGGCATTAATGGGTACAACAAGACTGGTCGGCTCGGAGTCAGTATAATGTGTCAGAGTGGGGTATTCATGCTTCACTGCGGCATGACATCTCTGTGGGCTAGCACTATAAAACCAGCTTCAGTCTGGGCTATTACAAGCAGCCGCACATACACATACACACGCATGCACGTCGTCATATGAGCGAAATATTCTCAAGCACGACGTTAAACCCAATTTCACCTCACATCACCTCATATCATACCTTGTTGACAGTATCGAGTCAAGTATGTCCATATCCTGCTTTGTTGACAGTGTCCGGTCAAGTATGTCCATACGGGTGGATTGACAGGCCTCGGGGAGACAGCTGCTACAAGATCGTAATCAACAACATTCGTCATACATTTACGGGTGCCCGGAGTCAATGTCAGGCTCTGCAGTCCAACATGTACAAACTGGACACTGTGCAAGAACGGGTGAGACTTCACTGCACATTGATAGGCATTGCTATGCACATTAAGTGTCAAGGATCCAAGCTAATTGATGGCGAGGTGTACGGGGACTGTCAGTCGTAGTCAGCCCAGTGTTCTCCCAGCATTCTCACATCAACCGGCATAATTGGGATTTTCGTGGCGTTAAATTAGATTGTAACTTTTGAAGAAAGAGCAAGAATAATCTTACGTCATTATTTCGGAAACCACAAGGCCATGCCAATTGAAACCCTTGAAGATGTGGAATACTAATATTCCACTTGGTTCACTCGGTTGCAAAAATTACTATTGAGCATATCATTTAGATATTTCATAATTTGTAAGGCTTTCCCACTGCAGTCATAGACGACGCTGTTGTTGGCTACACTACAATATCTGCAACAGAGAGTGCGTGAGTGAATACTTAGCGTCACATCGGCAATGGTTCAGCCATATTCAGCCCTTACATTATTACTGATAATGGATATGTGTATATTATAAAACCTGTCGTCAAAGGACACCAAATGAACTAGACTATCATAGTTAGAATTAGAACTAGCATGTCAAGTTAAACGTGATATCACTATTTGAACAACACATAATGTAAAAACAGGCTATAGATCGCCAACAAATGAAAGTAAAACACTACACTAGGGACTCTGCAACCCAGAGTACTGCTGCAGGCTACCACGTGTCATGTGTTCCAGGAGCTGAGATGTGGGCAAGCTGGGTTTACTATCGATAAGTGTTAGCACCGATAAGTGGAATCAAACTAAAATAGCAATATGTGCTTCCATGTTTGTGCTCAGCACCCAAATTGTGTTCCTAGATATTGCCATGTTCTTTTTGCCAGGACTGGTTGATGAAGACATTGCGAAACGCATCGAGTGTTTTTCCGGATGTGGCTGACTGGTGGAGCGGGGTGTACAACAGGGGAGACGGAAAGGGGTGGTTGTGGGCGGCGGACGACACCCCCATAGACAATTCACTCATGTGAGTCCTGCGTCTAAAGTCTAACTGCGTGGGGTATTTTTGGGTTTTGGTTGCGAGGAAAGGTGGGGGAGTTGACTGATTGTCGGGTGACTGTGGATTTTGACTGATGGATTGAGTCATATACATACTAGTCATATCAGTGTGAAGTTGGAGATATACATTGGATCTTTTAAACATATATTCGCCTTCACATACGACCATTGCAGATCCCTATTGAAACAGGTCTCCAGCCTTTATGGCTTGTTACAGCACCAGCTGATGTGGCGTCGCTCACGTGATCAATCACTGGTTTGTCAGGCCCAGTGTTTATTGAATAAATGATGCAGCCAGAATATTTCTGAGTGCGGCGTAAAACAACATTTGCTCACTTATGTCGATGCGATTGTTGTGCTGATTCCACGCCGGTGTTTATGATAACGCTGTAGTCTTTTGCTTGATTACTATTTTTAGACAGTGGCAGGGAGGGACGGTTCCACCTAACGACGGCAGCAAACATTGTGCCACCGTCAACATCCAGGGTTACAACTCCTCCAGCTGTTCGTCGTGGCTTCGAATAATTTGTGAGCGACAGAAGAGTAAGTATAGTCAGTATGTGTATAAGAATTGCGATGTGATGTTTGATGGGCATTTTCAGAAGATGCTATTTGATGAACATAGAGACTTTTACTGGGTTTCATCTTCTTTTTATTGTTTGGTACAACGTTTCAGGGCTTGTTCTGGCCCCATCATCAAATAGAGCTAACAGGGCTAATATGAATACTTATCTGACCTTCATGGAGATTCAGGAGCTTGTAGTCTCTGTATCGAGTAGTCTATCAGCATTATACAAAGCGCCCTGTATGTGGGAAGGATCGAATGGTAAAAGTCACAAGAGAAACTACACCCTACACTTTTCATGTACAGGTTGACATTCGTCACCATCGTATACATGACACTCTTTAGAATAACCAAACAAAGTCTTTATGATATTGAGGGTATAGGCTGACATCAGCTTGTTGTTTCAGGTCATCCCTTGGTGTGTAACTCAGATGACGGTTGGGGAATACAACAACGTCTTTATGATATTGAGGGTATAGGCTGACATCAGCTTGTTGTTTCAGGTCATCCCTTGGTGTGTAACTCAGATGACGGTTGGGGAATACAACAACGTCTTTATGATATTGAGGGTATACGCTGACATCAGCTTGTTGTTTCAGGTCATCCCTTGGTATGTAACGCAGATGACGGTTGGGAGTACAACAACGGCAGCTGCTATAAACTCATCCCCGAGAAGAGAACGTGGTCTGATGCAAGGTAAGATGTGTCAACTATTCCGTCATGAACATAGCAGTAATTGAGTGAGTGTGGATGAACGCAGATTTAAGCACAACCTCTATAATGTCCAGGGTGTACATTCCGATAAACCTCCACTAGAACGTGAACCCTGGAGATTATCAAGGATGTGTTTAAAGCTGCCTTCATCCCAACTCACTCGACTACTGCTATGTTCATGACAGAAGAGTGCTTTGAACATAAAAGAATTGTTTGCAAAAAATTGTTTACTCCCATGTCCCACGATCATACTGCATTAAATTGAAAGGGAGGTAACCCTTTTTGTATTTGGTGCTGATGTCGTAAAATATATGCGAAGCCTAATTACTTTGCAAATATGCGAAATCGAAAGTATTTGAATGTGGCTTCTTTGGTCAAATTTTTTATTCGTACTTTATGCTTAAGACATATGGTGATGAATGAATTTTCATATTGAACTTCAAACTGAAAGGACATTGCTTTAAATATTAATCATATCACTTTGTGGCTTGTTTGCAGTACCCTCTGCCAGTCATACAGCGCCCGACTGAGCAAGATTGATGGGGATAACTCCCAGGGCTTCCTGTCGGACATGGCGAAGGAGAAAGGGATGGATTTATGGATAGGCCTGAGAACAACCCCGAAGGAGGTGAGTACAATCTGTGGTGGGGTGGGGGTAGCTTAGTGGTTAAATCGTTAGCTCTTCACGCGGTAGACGCAGGTTCCCCACATTGGTACTTTTTCGGTCGTGATATTGCTAAAGGCGTAATACTAAACTCACTCACTTTTGGAATCGAAGCATCTCTACAAAGAGTGTGTGTGTGTGTGTGTGTCGGTGGGGTAGCCTAGTGGTTAAAGCGTTCGCTCGTTACGATGAAGTCCCGGGTTCGATTCCCCACATGGGTACAACGTGTGAAGCCCATTTCCGGTGTACCCCGCCGCGATATTGATGGAATATTGCTGAAAACCATACTCACTCACACTCTGGGGCTTTGCACGTCGTGATATCGCTGGAACATAGTGGCTTAAATACTCACTCATTCACACGTTATTTGTATCAGATATAATCCTAGACTGTGCATAAGAAAGTTTGTGTGCCACGTATTTTAGCTGATGGGTAGGGTAGCTACAGGTAAAACACCTTATGGCCACCTTGTATAAGGTGTGTAAATGCGTGTTGATTCATCGAATAATGGGTTGTATATAAATGCTTTGACAATTAACTCCAATGCAGTATACGACTTTGAAGTATGCTCCATTAAATGATCATGTATACTTTGCTTCTTTCCATCTTCAGAACGGGGTCACGTGGAACTGGGATGGTGGGGCCCCTCTTGCCTCCTCCCCCACCTACTGGGCAAAGGATAACCCCGGGACCATAGCAAAGTGAGCACTTGTTTTGTTTCCAAGATTATTGAACAGGGCAGGTAATACTGCTCAAAGTGAGGTGACGGTTTCCAGGCTTTGGTCTCCTGGTGGATCATTCCTGTAGGTAGTAGATAGCTGTAATTCCTTGACGTTGTGGATCGAACTGAACGCTCTCTATACTTCTTGTATTTGTAGCTTGCTGACATTCATTGCTGTGGGTATTCTAGTGGTTAAAGCGTTCGCCCGTCACGCCGAAGGCCCGGGCTCGATTGCCAACGTGTGTTAAGCCGATTTCTGGTAGCCCCCACCGTGATATTGCCGAAATATTGCTAAAGGCGTACATTTGAACTCAACCAACTCATTGTCACTAAGAGGGCGGTGGGGAAGCCTTGTGGTTAAAGCGTTGGCTCGTCACGCCGAAGACCCGGGTTCGATTCCCCACACGGGTACAATGTGTGAAGCCCATTTTTGGTGTCCCCGCCGTGATATTGCTGGAATATTGCTAAAAGCGGCGTAAAACTAAACTCACTCACTCACTCATTGTCACTAAGAAGCGCTAAATAGTGTATACTACAGTAAGATAATTATATTGAAATCTATTCAAATAATTTGCCCTTCGTTGTTCAAACCATACCGTGTCCCAGGTACACCTTGATTTACCCACACTCCTGATCACTTATTTATTTAATCACTTGATAGCATGCTCACATGAACGCACGCACACACAAACGCTCGCTCACGCACACACATCGACCTCCGACACATACGCACGCATACATGCATAAAGGCAAGCAAACACGTGCACTCACACACATTCTATTCACACGCATCCCCGCATGTACTCAGACAAGCACTCACAGGCTCACACACACGCATTCACACACATGCCTTCACACACACATGGAACGCACACACACATACGGACGTACGCTCAGCTTTAACAGCGATGTTGTAATTTACAGTAATGACCGAAACTCTACCTGTGTGGAGCTGGACAAAGTGAGACGGAGGAAACTGTCGTGGGTGGCAGTTAACTGTGACGAACTAAAGAACTATGTCTGTCAGAAGCCCCAAGGTAAATAGTCAGGACGGGTGGCTACTGTGGTATATGTGACTGTATGTATTACAGGTGTATGTCAGTAGAGATGGCTACTGTGGTATATGTGACTGTATGTATTACAGGTGTATGTCAGTACAGATGGCTACTGTGGTATATGTGACTGTATGTATTACAGATGTAAGTCAGTACAGATGGCTACTGTGGTATATGTGACTGTATGTATTACAGGTGTGAGTCAGTACAGACGGATACTGTGGTATATGTGACTGTATGTATTACAGGTGTATGTCAGTAGAGATGGCTACTGTGGTATATGTGACTGTATGTATTACAGGTGTGAGTCAGTACAGATGGCTACTGTGGTATATGTGACTGTATGTATTACAGGTGTGAATCAGTACAGATGGCTACTGTGGTATATGTGACTGTATGTATTACAGGTGTATGTCAGTACAGATGGCTACTGTGGTATATGTGACTGTATGTATTACAGGTGTGAAGTCAGTACAGATGGCTACTGTGGTATATGTGACTGTATGTATTACAGGTGTATGTCAGTACAGATGGCTACTGTGGTATATGTGACTGTATGTATTACAGGTGTGAATCAGTACAGATGGCTACTGTGGTATATGTGACTGTATGTATTACAAGTGTGAGTCAGTACAGATGGCTACTGTGGTATATGTGACTGTATGTATTACATGTGTGAGTCAGTACAGATGGCTACTGTGGTATAAGTGACTGTATGTATTACAAGTGTGAGTCAGTACAGATGGCTACTGTGGTATATGTGTCTGTATGTATTACAGGCGTGAGTCAGTTCAGATCGCGACTGTGGTATATGTGACTGTATGTATGACAAGTGTGAGTCACTACAGACGGCTACTGTGGTATAAGTGACTGTATGTATTACAAGTGTGAGTCAGTACAGATGGCTGCTGTGGTATATGTGACTGTATGTATTACAAGTGTGAGTCAGTACAGATGGCTACTGTGGTATATGTGACTGTATGTATTACAGGTGTGAATCAGTACAGATGGCTACTGTGGTATAAGTCTGTATGTATTACAGGTGTGAGTCAGTACAGATGGCTACTGTGGTATATGTGACTGTATGGATTACAGGTGTATGTCAGTACAGATGGCTACTGTGGTATATGTGACTGTATGGATTACAGGTGTATGTCAGTACAGATGGCTACTGTGGTATATGTGACTGTATGGATTACAGGTGTATGTCAGTAGAGATGGCTACTGTGGTATATGTGACTGTATGTATTACATGTGTATGTCGGTACAGATGGCTACTGTGGTATATGTGACTGTATGTATTACAAGTGTGAATCAGTACAGATGGCTACTGTGGTATATGTGACTGTATGTATTACAGGTGTGAATCAGTACAGATGGCTACTGTGGTATATGTGACTGTATGTATTACAGGTGTGAATCAGTACAGATGGCTGCTGTGGTATATGTGACTGTATGTATTACAGGTGTGAATCAGTACAGATGGCTACTGTGGTATATGTGACTGTATGTATTACAGGTGTGAATCAGTACAGATGGCTGCTGTGGTATATGTGACTGTGTGTATTACATGTGTGAATCAGTACAGATGGCTACTGTGGTATAAGTGACTGTATGTATTACAGGTGTGAATCAGTACAGATGGCTACTGTGGTATAAGTGACTGTATGTATTACAGGTGTGAATCAGTACAGATGGCTACTGTGGTGTATGTGACTGTATGGATTACAGGTGTATGTCAGTACAGATGGCTACTGTGGTATATGTGACTGTATGGATTACAGGTGTATGTCAGTACAGATGGCTACTGTGGTATATGTGACTGTATGGATTACAGGTGTATGTCAGTAGAGATGGCTACTGTGGTATATGTGACTGTATGTATTACATGTGTATGTCGGTACAGATGGCTACTGTGGTATATGTGACTGAATGTATTACAGGTGTGAATCAGTACAGATGGCTACTGTGGTATATGTGACTGTATGTATTACATGTGTATGTCAGTACAGATGGCTACTGTGGTGTATGTGACTATGTATTACAAGTGTGAATCAGTACAGATGGCTACTGTGGTATATGTGACTGTATGTATCACAGGTGTGAGTCAGTGCATGTGGCTACGTATACTCTATTTGACTGTATGTATCACAGGTGTGAGTCAGTGCATGTGGCGACGTATACTCTATATGGCCGTATGTATTACAGGTGTATGTCAGGACGGGTGGCTACAACATCAAGACTACTGTTTTGCCTTCAACCCCCTGTACAGTTTGACCTGGGCAAGTGCTAAGAAATTCTGCAGTGATCAGGGGGCATCTCTCCTCAGTCTTAAAAGGTTTGTGAGTCAGGAAAACAAGTCATTGTTCTTCAGTCGTTTAGCATAACTCCACGATGAGAGACATAAAGCATAGGTATCACATATTCGTCCTGACAAGCAACCCATACAACCAAAACCTTGATTGTGGTATGTGGCAGTTCCACCCACTGCAAACTGTAAGGAGAACCTTTACCATAAACCACTATGACAGTTGTACACGGATCTCTCAAACTAAAAAGTCAGTGAGCAAATGTAACAAATAAAGTCAGTTCTGCTTTTTGTTCATGATTAAAAGATAAAAACCAGCACTTATATGAGGCTTGGGATTGGTAAACCTTGAGGTAAAGAAGGCGTTGTTACATCATTGTTAAACCCCACAGGGGACAGGTCAGTTTTTATTCTGTGATACTTCTAGGGACTGAGTATTTCTGTCAGTAAACGGTACAAGTCATGCTTTGAAATAAGTTGTCTAAAAATTCTTTTCGATTCACATTACAATATATTTAGAACATGGGAACCATCATACTTTTTGTAAAACCTGACAATATTTTTCTATGATTTTGGCTAATAAATGTTTTCCTTCCTGGAAGCATTTTACGTTGGCGAAATATGTGATTTTGCAGTATTTTATTGAATATCCTATCCAAGAATATCACGCAGTCGGTATTTTAGCTGATATATTTACCAGGCTAAAATGTTAATAGTGCCTACGTGAGAATCATTCTCTCTTTAAGGTAGTATATACCTCCAGTGTCAGTAATACGCATGTACCTTGCGAGTTGGCACTGTTATACACAATAACCTGGTAATCTTGGCATGTATTGATTGGATCTTGTCTCTGCAAATTAGGTAGTACTAGTCTTGGTTCTTCTGTTATCCCGCCACTGTTAGAAATGAGACAATTAACGGGGTTCACTGTTCGCCATGTTGTATATTCCAGCGCTTCTGACCAAACCTTTATACAGTTGTACCTCAAAGAACAAGTCGTCGCTGGAATCGACAGTATCTGGATCGGCGCAAGCGGTAGGACGAACAATTAGAACTAAAATGTGTCCCTGTTTGCATCTGGATAAATACATAGAAACTGAAGAATAGTAATGACGTATAACACATTATAATAATGAGTGAATTTGTAACGCGTCAAACTCCACGCCAGCTGGTATTCTAATGGTAAGGTAAAGTTATTTGGGTGAGAGTCTAGACAAAGTACTTCTTAAATAAAAACGTTTTGAGGAGAGTTTTGAAGGAGAGCAGGCTTGGGGCTGTTTTGAGATCTTCAGGCAGAGAATTCCATAGAACAGCTGATTGGTAGGCAAATGATCTGAATCCAAATCGTTTCAGTCTGTATCTGGTCACTGTGCACAGAATTTGGGACTGAGATCTGAGAGTTCTGGTTGGATTATACTGGCTTACAACTTCACACAAATAGGATGGCGCGATAGCGTTAAGGTACTGGTATGCGAGTACAAGAACTCAATTCTAGCTGAGATGTGCAGCCAGTGTAGGGATCGTAGAAGTGACTTGTATGTGTGCAAACTTTGGAGCAAGACACACAATTCGGGCTGCAGTATTTTGTATTTTTTGTAGCTTTGAAACAGATGTTTGTGACACACCACTCAGTAGGCTATTGCAATAGTAGAGGCGTGATAATATCAGTGTTCGAACTAATGCAACGGCAGCTTCCTGGGATATAAGATGCCTTACTTTGCCGATGTTTCTTAAATGAAAATGGCATTTTCGACATAGCTCTTGTATCCATACTCAATGTGGACTCCACCAAGACACCCAGATTCTTAACCACAGGTACACATGGTATACTTTCGTGACACACAGACAGGTGCGTAACACCTACTTTGTGACCATTGCATCCGTACCAATGAGCATAGCTTCCGTTTTATCTTGATTCACATTTGTTTGTTGACATCCAGGATGCGATCTGGCCGGTGCATGATTCTAATTTAGCCAGTGGTTGTCTATCATCAAGATTCAAACGGTCTGGCATCTGAGTATCGTCAGCATACATGTGATGATCGACAGAATTATTATCAATCACATGGCCTAGTTGGGTAGTGTACAAAGTACACAGAACCGGTCCAAGAACCGAACCTTGTGGTACACCATAATCCATGTTGTGACATCTGGATTGTGACTGTCCGACCACAACTGATTGGCACCTGTCCGATAAATATGACACATAATGTATGTAAGCAATTATCACTTTGTTTATATAATCACTTTCTGATTATACAGTGAGATTCTTGAGGGGCATTTAGAAGTTGGTAAATATATAAGACGAGTATATGGATGGCAACTTCTTGTTTATTGTATAACACAACGTTTCTGGGCTACTTCTTGCCCCTTCTTCAGGTGATTAAAGACAGATTTAGAAAGCAAACTATATATACCAGATTTACAGGAAGCAAGACATGTACATGTATATACAATAAATCACAGAGGACCGATAAAATAGCAGTTATAAAAACAATTATAATTGGGATAAGGTAAATCGAGTTGACACAAATAATGAGGATAAAGAGATGTGGATACAGCAAAGTGATATACAGCTAGTTAAGTGACAATTAGATTTACAGGAAACCAGAGATCGTTCTTAAGCGTAAATCCTCGTTTTTGTGAGAATGAGAGGGACGACAAGGTGATTTTTTGTATCGGACGAAAGAGGGGTCTTGTGTTGGGTGACAAGGTTATCTTGATTTATTTAATGACACTAATGACACTAGTGGATGCAGTCTCTAGCATTATGTTCCTAAATTACCAGTTCCGGCCTTATTGGCCGAATAATTCATCTTGTATACATATTTGTCGTCGTGTTATCGCTTTCTCGTCTCGTGATAAGGCTTTCTCGCCCCCGAATTTTAAGGCGAGAAAGCGATGGCCCTAATCAGCCACCATACATAACTGGGTAGAAATTGTCTGTCGATATGTCATATCAAGGTTTGTTATAACGGTGTCATGTCGAGGTCTGTTTTAACAATGTCATGCTGAGGTTTGTTTAGCAATCCACATTTCTTACAGATAACGGTAAATCCGGAGCATTCCAATGGGTAGACGGGACGACTATTGCAGGGTACACACAATGGGCCCCCCAAAACCCCGTCAACAAAGCAGGCGCCCAGGACTGCGGTTACATCGACACAAGTACGGCACATTGTTTTGTTTTCTAAATTGATTCTTTCCTAGAAAAACAGGTCTGGAGCTCAAAGGGGACCTAAATGCTACAAGAAGAAAAAAGTCAATGGCACATGTGTCAGAGAAAAAAACAGATATACAGCTCAGTTTCGTAAAGGCCACGCCAGTTGATTTGTGTAGCGACGGATATAGAGACATGCCACGAAATGCATGGGTTGTTACATATATCTTCTGTTACAGTTGTTGAGTGTGTGTATATGTGTTTAATAAGACCCTTATTCATCTCTATAATATATACGGCAAGTGCCTTATCAAGCGTATACGTACGTGTTGTTAAAGCTTATTTTACTATCATTTGTATGTAGTAACACCCTTATAGCTTTCAATTATTCCCGGTAACCGCTTTAATTATCATAAATATATGGGTTATCGCAAACATCCGGTGATTTGCCATACTCAGCGTAACTATATTCACGGTAATCGCGTTATATGCGTATTAATCGCGAGAGTAATGTTTAGAATAAATACAGGTGAAGAAGCCACCTTCTCTTATATGCATAATTTGTTTTTCTCTTTGGCAGCTGCCTTCTTTTTTGGTGTATTAATATATTTCCGGTAACCGCCTTTGACCAAACATACAGGGACCCTATCCGCAACGCGATCGTAGCACTACCCCATTCGTAACCTGTACGTAAAATACGTTTCAGTTCTTAATGTTGTTTCTGGTTCAAGGAGACACAACTGGCTCATGGCAATCCTCGAGTGACTGCACACAGCTGAAGTCGTTCGTGTGTATGATTTCAGTGAACAAGCCTGTGTTACAAATCACTACTCCCAAACGTAAGTAGCTCGAGGTGGAATAAGATGTACACCCAGTTTAAAGGGTTGGGACCGCTCATATATTTTTCAATTTCATACATTAAACTACAGTTATAATGAACACGCTTATAACGAACTGTCTTATATTACGAACTGAGTGGTTTTATTCCGGCCACATGGTGTATATTATAGTTGAATTGCGTATAATGAAGTACGGTTATTACAACTAAAATCAGTTGTCACTCTGATTTCGTTATACCCGAAGCATCCTGTATATATTTCCGTGCCAATTGACAAATATAGGCATTTGGTGGGGTGTCGTCATAGTGAAGGAATGTCTTGGCCAAATACATCTACTTTCAATAACCCGTGAAGACTCTGGTTAGAATTGATCTTCAGTAGCCCATGCTTGTCGTAAGAGGTGACTAACGGGATCAGGTGGTTAGGCTTGCTGACTTAGTTGACACATGTCATCGGTTCCCAATTGCGTAGATTGATGCTCATGCTGATGATCATTGGATTGTCTGGTCCAGGCTCGATTATTTACAGACCGCCGCCATATAGCTGAAATATTGCTGAGTGCGGTGTAAAACTAAACTTACTCTAATCTCAATAAAACGGTCGTTGGTTTCTATTCCAAGTGCAAGTTAAAACTCACTGAGGGATTTTGGTATCCAACTTGTAAACCTTTGCTCAGTAATATGAAATTAAGGTTTAGGTATATTTCGTAAAGAGCGTTTTGTGTAAAATTCGACTCGGCAGGAACCTTATCAAAATATGCACGATGGATTCGTTTCTGAAAACAGCAATAGCTTTCAACATGCACAAGGCCCCTGTATCTGTTTGAATGATGCAGGTGCTTTTCTACATATCGGGTTATGACAATTTAAAAAACACAGTATCTAATAAATTAGGCAAACGTGGAAAACAGAAAACAGGAAATTCTTGCTGCTTGTTAAAACAATAGCTGTATCAGTAACTTTTGATTTTTCATAATCTATTCTATTCTCTATCCATCAGCTACGTTTGTTTGTGAAAACGGCTGGAATGAATACGGCGGTAGCTGCTTCTACTTCAACAACAGTGATTCGACGTGGATAGAGGCGAGCGACACGTGTGTGGCCGAGATGGCACACCTAGTGGTCATCCCCGACGGTGGAACTGATGCCTTTCTCAGCGGTCAGTTTAATGTGGTGTCCTTGTGAACAGTAGCACTATTACAATCACGGCGTGTCATTTTAGTGTCGGCAGAAAGCTATAATACTTCAGGGCGAGAATATAATATATTACGCTACACTACAGGTGTAGAACAAAGTTATTTCTAAAATGGACGTTTATGTGTTAAATGTTATTCACATAGATATTAAGGGGGTGTGCTCACATAGATATAATCTATAAGAAAATGTTACATATATATGGCGGAAATACTCACACACACATATATATACACGCACGCACGCATGCACGTACGCACGCACGCACACACACATAGGGTGATATACACAGATATACAGCGGATATATAGCGGGATATATTAACTCGCACTCACACAGATATACAGCGGATGTATAGCGGGATATATTCACTCGCACTCACACAGATATACAGCGGATGTACAGCGGGATATATTCACTCGCACACGCACAAATGTGTGGATATTTTCCAAATATATATTGGGGGACTTATTCACAAATAGTGAGGGTAAAATAAATATGCATCGGGGAAACTCAAATGGATATGTAGGGGAGGTGTTGACATAAGGAAATAGATACTCTGATCGATACACAAGGAGAAATGCTCACATAGATGTATAGAGACAGGATGTAGACACCTAAACAATACCTGGATGAAAGGATGCTGCTGCATATGGGGGGACATATTCACCAAAACATATAGTAGGGTTGGGGAAATGTTAAAATAAATATCCTCCGGGAAACATTCTACAGGGGGAATACTGACATGAATATGAAGGTCTTGAAGTTCGATTGTGTAAGATCTGTATCACTTTCTGGAACGTATTCCTGGCATGTTCCAAGGTCACGTTTCGGGTGCGGACTACTGGATTGGTCTTCAGGATAGAACCAAAGAAGGTGGCTGGGCATGGATTGATGGTAAAACACCAGTGAGTACCAGCAGTTTCTTACTAAGTTCTGCAAAGGCATTCAAAGTTGGACGAACATGAATACGTGACGTTTTTGTGGATAACAACTTCTTTTTATTCTTTATAAGACGTTTCAGAGCTAATTCTTGCTCCTTCGTCAGGTAAAATGGGGGTATATTCTCATAGACATGTAAAGGGGTGGAGAATATTTTGATAAATATGAAGCGGGAAATATTTGCATGGATATAAGGGGGGAGCAAGAGCTTTGAAACGTCGTATGAAGAATAAAAAGAAAGCGCTATCCATAAAAACGTTTCACGTATTCTGTTTGATCCTAACCCAACATTTAATGGGAAGATTAGGTCTCAGTCTGAGGGGCTCGACACATGACTTGCGAGGGGTTGATTGATGCTTTTATGCAGCAAAAATACAAGGAATAGTGTTACACCTCTAAGTCCTTACGCTTCAGTTTACCTACACACACTGGAACACGAATGAACCTAACAACCTTGGCAACGAGAATTGTGCTGCCATTCTTGGTAACTGGGCAAAGGACCAGAACGGCAAGTGGAATGACTATTCCTGCAGCAAGAAGTATAGCTTCATCTGCCAGAAGGCTGCTAGTAAGTAATCACTCCGATCTCTTCCTTACTGCAACTACAAGGGGTTCCAGAACTTTCCGTTGCTAGGTTACATTTGCGCCAACTGTTCTCCGTTCACTGTGTTAAGTGACTCTACTGGAAATATAAAGATTACGTTTTTGTGAAGGTTATATCACAATCTGCTGCTATATTGTGTATACTCATAGCTTGATCCAAGTACAAAAAGTACTTAATTTACATACATTGCTACATACGCACCTGCATCCATCCACCCGTCCATCCATCCATACACACACACACACACACACACACACACAAACCTACATACACACACACATGTACATACATACAGACGTACAGACGAACAGACGTACGTACGTACATACATACATACAGACGTACATACAGACGTACATACAGACGTACGTACGTACATACATACATACATACGTATAGCACCTGAGGATACGGGTTATAATTTGCCTATAGCAACCTATGCTTGTCGCGAAAGACGACTCACGGAATTGGGCGGTTGACTTGGTCGATGCATCTCATCGTATCCGAAACGCTCAGATCGGTGCTCATGATGTCAATCACTGGAATGCCTACACTGGATTGTTTACAGAGACTCTCCATTTAGAATACTGCTGAGTGGGGCTTGAACATCAAACAAACAACTCGTAGGTAAACACATGAACACATGCGTTATTTCACGCGTACAGAAGGCTCTCAACCTCATGTTTCTGTACACACAGTGAGCGCCTACTTGTTTAACTTCGTCCAAGATGAACATATTTCTGTTCTTGTACGTGGCATGGTGTGAGTATGGAGTTGAAACTGCAACGGTGACGAAAACTTCTTTTATAATTTCAGCAAGCACTGGTGAGGTTATCATACTCGTCTTGGTCTTGCTGTTTAATGATCTCTGCATGTAGACTCTCCTCGATGTAATAGAGAAGACATTCTGACTCTCACAGTTATCTCGCCATCCTGGCACCTTAGAAACTTCTTCAGTTCAGACCTTTTTGTCAGAACTCCTCTGTTCTCTATTTGTTCTAGAGATGGCATGTCCTATAACACTGAACAAAAGAGCTTTCATTTCAAACCATCCGACAACTCCAAACATAGAATCATGTTACTTCCAAATAAATTATACCAAACAGATGAAGTAATGGTCTCTGACAAAATGTAATATCCAAACCAGTCTAAAATACAACTTGAAATCAAAGGCAATTATCAGTCGTTAATTTATTGATAGGATACTATATTTGTGACGTTTGGCAATTTTAGACAAAGATGTCAATGCGTAAACGGAAAATTTGGGGGAAAAGTTGAAATGTTGAACTTTTGTCTCTTTGTTTTAAACCTTTACTGTTTTGTCTCTGTTTCTGACTATCAAAAGTGCTCCTTGTCTAGAATTATTTATGACCTACCATTTCTAAATGTATTTTAAGTCATCATAGTATAGTACTTTCACTACTGACAGCCATGTATGTGGGTATGCCGAGTTACATTGTTAATTCCATATTAATCTATATACATTATCAAGTCATGTCATATAACATCATGTCTATAGCAGCCTATGGTCGTGTTAAGGGTACATACCTCACCAAAGTGGTCACCCATGGTGCCTGAAATGATTGTGTGTCATACTAACGGTGGGGATTGTTGATCATACTATCACTCACTGGATTGTGTAGTCCAGACTGTATTTACATACAACCGCTGCCATGGAGCGAGAATAATGCTGAATGCGACTTAAACAAGTAAATGTGTCTTTTATGAAATGTAAAGTTTTGTGTCTATTGAAAGCTAAATGGTAGTACTATCTCTTGTTCGTATAACTTAAGCCAAGGGTGTTTAAAAGTATCACTGAGGAAAATGGCATTCCCCTGCATTTAGGAGATAGTTTAAAATGTATTCATAACATTTACTTACAGTAAATGATCCCAATCGGTCCACTCCGGCACCAACGCCTAAACGTGAGTATGGATGACACACTTCCAAAGAAGTTTCAGAACATAATATTTTTGATATGATACAGATAATCCATATTGTCACGAAAAATGGGTGTTTTAACATTTGTTTTGAGCAGTATATACCAAAACAGTGATGATCAAACAATCGTTTCTCTTCATGTGGGGGTGGTGGTAAAAGCTTTTTGAGGTCATTACTGATGCTGGTGTTACGTCATACGTGTAGTGTACAAAGAGGCATTGGTCTCCGCTGCAAACATCCTCTTTCTACAGTTACAAGCCTGTTTAAAACATGATTGTTATCCACATGTCCACATACTCGAGCATATTTTCACTACTCTTGTGAAGACCCGGGTAGGGAGTGATCTTCGCCCAACCGTGCGGCTAAGGGGGTCACGGTGTTGGACGTTGAGGAGGCATGATCCTAGTTTAGAAGATCAGTCACTGGATTATCTGGTCCCACTTTAGAAGATCAGTCATTGGATTGTCTTGTCCAGAATCAATTATTTACACGCCAGAATGCACGATATTGCTGAGTGTGGTGTTAAAAAAAGTTGTAAAAGCAGTAAAAAAATTATCATTAAACTCCTCGTATTGGTAATGAATATCGACAATGATTTTTAAAAATATGTGTTTTCCCTCAGACAAAAGTACTAGTATATGTGCTCGTTTTCAAGAGTGAAAACTTTATTTTTAGCGGTATTCAGCAAGAAGTGCGGTGCATACTGGGAAGAGTCCTCGGTCTCTGACTATTGTTATCAGTTCAACACCCAACTGCTGTCGTGGATGGACGCCCGAGATATGTGCATGCATCGTGGTGGTCAGCTAGCAAGCATCACCAGCATAACGGAACAATTCTACATAGCAGGTGATCATAGGGAGTAGCCGAGATGCTGAAGTGTTTTGGTTGACCTGACAATTCTGAGTTCGGGTCCCCAAATGTGTACAATGGGTACAGCTACCATCTATGTTTTCGTTAGTATGGCGTGGTTCATTTTCCAGCAATATTCCAAACCATATGAAAGAGCAAGTCTACACAGCTCTAATAACAGGGAGTGGCCACGCATATAGGTAATTGAAGAGACAGAACTTGTGAACCGCGTCAATTCCCAAATGTGTACAATGTGTATAGCTCAGATTCACTGTTCTCCTTAGTCTTTGAAAATTGCTGGAAAATTGCCCACTAAAGAGTTGATTCCATTTTCGTTATTCCTCTCTCTATTGGTTTTGATTTTTGCTAATTATACATGGTTGATATAATTACTATTGAGTTAGTGAACTCAGCCTCTGTCCTTATGATATCGTATTGAACTCTCTTGAGATTGGTCTCCTACCCTGCTGAAATATGATGATGATGATGGTGATGATGATTGTATGGGTGTCCTCTGTGACATAACCATTCAAGCACCTTTGTGTTGGGCAATATATTCAAGAACAAGGACCAGCTGTATAAATGAGATCCGAGGACCACCAAGCATGTACCGTGTGGCAACAGTAATCTGGGATGTCGCATATTCTGCATTGCAACTACGAGGATGACCTGTTGAGATTGGTCGCATGAACCTCGTACAATGTATCCCAGCTATCAACTACGATGAATAGCTATGGAACCCTAGAAGGGACATTGTAGCTGTGTCTCATAAATCCCCTTTGCTTGAATGAAAACATAGTATTCAAAGCGCGACAATGCAATGCATGGCCGATATGTCCCTTCGTCGCAATTTGGTTATATTTTGTCACTTTTTGCTTCTTTTTGTAATGGCGACATTGTGCTTATGTCCCTTCTAGTATTCCATACAGAGCAGCGTGGCTTAAAATTAACTGTATGTTTATGCACGGTCGTATTTGTGCAATATTTGAGCTTCGAAATATTGCAAAATCTCTCAAGCCCACGTCGTTATCAACTCTAGTAAATTCCCTTTTTCCCTTTCATTTTTCTTTCCGTTCACCTTTTACGCTTCTTTGTAATGGCTGTTTTCCCCTCCTTTTCACTCATTGTCACTTTGAAGTGACATCTAATCCACAATAACAGTGTAATTTATAGACTGGCCACAATGCACACATTACCCTTGGACAATAGTCATTGGGAATCCTGTTTACTGATATTGGACGAATTGCAGGTCGCATCAAACGCATGTCCATAATAGGACTGTGGATCGGCGCTAACGACCGTGACAGCGAAGGAGGTTGGAACTGGGATGATGGAGCCCCTTTCGCCTACATGAACTGGGTGCCAGGTCAGTCCGTTGTTTAGTCAACAGCTGGAGGGACCACTTCAAAAGTATGATATCGGATAAAAGGTTTAATTCTTTAAGTTTAGGGTATGTGGGATGGGGGCAACTTGGATTGGGTGTAAGTTCCTTTAAGCGTTGTATCCGGCAAATTCATCTTATCTGATTTCTATTTTGTTTATAGAAAGTAAACATTCTAATAATACATTGATCATATAACAACAACCCTACATTTATGAATTTATTGTTCAAAGGTGTCATTGAATATATACAGTCTTGTCATGAGGTAGGATTTTGCCGGTCCTCATAGTTCAGGAAGTCATTGAAGATTGCTTGACAACGGTACAAGAATCTGTATCGAAACGTCGCACTAACGAAATAAAGAAGTTGATATCCATAAAGTTTGTCTATATTATACAGTCCAACTCCTAAAATACCACTCAAATTATTATTGTTATTATAGGCTACTTATATAATTCACATATCCAGGCAACTAGTGCTTGCTCAATGCGCTGATATTTGTTCCCTCGATCATTGGATGTCAATCTCAATGGCACATCGTATTATCAATCTCAACTCCCTGGGGAGTATACAGCTCTTGCAGCCACTGGGCGCACCGAGATATTGTGGCTTTCTCATCCTAACGAGGTACCCATTCACAGCTGGGTGGACTGAAGATTGAAGATTTCATCTATAAACATCCGACAATTGTTGAATAAACTTCTGACTTGCTAACAGTTATGACTTAAACACCAGAATGAGTTGCAAAACAGGCCACTGAATTTGGGAATTCACTTTTTCTGAAATAGATTTGTTTTAGGGTTGGGATGGGATGTGTCTCAAAACTTGAGCTTTCTATCCCACATGGAACTATTAAACTGGAGCCTTACTGTGCTTCATATACGGCTAATAAAATTCTAATGATGGACATTTACAAAACGTTTACAAAGACATACGTGTATATATTGGACACATATATGGGTCTTTAGTCCTCTTTATAAAATGAACACAGGCAGTAGGTTTTGAGTATTCAAGTTTACATTTTCACAACATTCCCAAACATCATTGTTTACAGGCGAGCCTAATGATTACGGCAACAGCGAAGACTGTGGATTCGTGGTTGTCTCCAATGCCAGATGGAACGACTATGACTGTCAAAGAAGAAATGGCTACATTTGTAAGAAATTAGGTACGTACTTCCTATTGATGCTCAGATCACCAATGGCATGACAATACATTTATTACAGACTATATCCCGATCACACACTGTGACACTTTCAGGGACATCCGATTCTTGTCCACGTAGAGGTGCAGGAAAGAGTGGGTTTGACATCTGATACTTTTACATGTTGGATTGCACTAAATAGTAGGCGTGGCATCCGATACTTGTCAATGTAGTACTTGAAGTAAGAGTAGGTCTGGCATCTGAAACTTGCCAATGCAGTACTGGAAGTAAGAGTAGGTCTGGCATCTGATGCTTGTCAATGTAAAATTATCAGAAAGATGTGATCTGGCATCCGATCTGTGTCCATTTATAAATGCCACAAAGAGTAGTCCTGGCATCCTATGCTTATATATATATCATACAATTGCCAGAAAGGTAAGGTTTGGCATACGGTGCATGTCTATGTTCAATTTGCATGGTAGAGCAGGTCTGGGATCCGATACTGGTTCATGCAGAATTGAAAGAAATCTAATGGCATCTAATGCTTGTCAATGAAGAATCGAAAACAGCCGGTTCCCAATATGGGTACAATAGGTGAAGCCCATTTCTGGTGTCCCCCACTGTGATGTTGCTGGAATATTGCTAAACGCGGTGTAAAGCAAAACTCACTCACTAACTCACACAAAACTCACTCACTAACTCACACCTGCGAAATGGAGTTCAACGTTTAAGCAATATGCTAACATCCGTATAGAACAGTGCCTATAATGTTGCATTTGTGTTTCAGGAAATGTTCAGGCCACCACTGTACAGCCTACGACCTCACCGATGACTCTGCCAGGTAGGGATCAATGGGAAATCGTTCCCATATCGACACAAGCATCACCCGATGAACACACCGGTGATGTAAAGTTGTTGTGTTTTTGTTACAACTGAGTTTCCATCTGATTATTCATCATGGTGTTGCAGCATCCCAGAAATGCTCCCCCTTTGACTCCCACACAGATCCAGCACAACACGTTCATTTATAAGATTTCAAAGAGCATCATCCGACTCAAAGGGATGGTTTATAAGGGTTGCAACATGCATCACCTCAGAAAGGCTATTCATTTATGTATGTTTTATGTCGAACAACAGAGAGTGTCCGTGGTTGTGGAAAGGGTTTTGTTGCTTGTTCAGCCATTATTCATTCAAACATGTAAACAAATATTTCAGCAGCCTACCTCATATTAATATCCCCTGAATGTTGCAATACTAGTCTCTCCTCCTTAGCTGGCAAGTATTACGGGTGTCAGCCGGGGTGGAAGCCCTACCTCAACTCGTGTTACCTTGTGGTCAAGGCGGAAGTGACGTGGCAGGCATCACGGACCGCCTGTCGAGCAGCTGGAGGAGATTTGACCAGTGTAGCAAGTAAAACAGAAAACCAGTTCATCAACAGCCAGATTCAGAAAGGTAACACTTTCGGACCAACTAAGCATGCCGTTTCTTCCTGATCACGATTCTCGTCAGTATCGAATCCATTTACTTTCTCAACGACTTTAACGTGATTCTCTAATGCAACAAAAACATAACCATCATTATGACAATCTTCAGTAGCATGTTTGTGTTGCTATTAGTAACCAGCAGATAATGTTTGTTTTGTTAAGGTCAGGAATTCAAAAAATATCAATAAGAGCGAAATCGTGATGGATGTCACCAAGTTATTTCTTTAATGTTCAGCCAACATATAATGATAAACGCTCTTTGAGTAATCGCATGTTAATATGTGAATAAGATATAAGACTGTACCTTGTCGGTATCAGTATTGTGTGTTCCCACGTAGTCTGCTACATCTCCCCGTTACTCCTTCCCTCCATCCACCGCTGCTTCGGCTATACAACCCTAGAGCCCTTTCCAACAGGCTAAAGCATGACTGAATGTTACATTCTAAGTAAGGATAATTCTGCATGTGTGTGCAAACATGTCTTGCAGCCCTCGTTGAAAGTATATCACATGAACGCGAATGCGCATGGTTACTTATAATCATACGAGAGATATGAAACATTGAAGCCATGTTGTGCCCCCAGAGAAATGCGTGAATGCGTATTCCAACAACACCAAGTGCGAGGTATGGGCTGAGAGTGGGGAGTGTCAGAAAAATCCAATATGGATGGCGGCCAACTGCAAAGACGCATGCGCACTGTGTGAGTTTGTGTGCGCTGATCGACACACTCTTGCTGAGTGCGCAGCATGGGCGGACATGGGCGAGTGCAGGAAGAACCCTGACTGGATGCACGTGCACTGCGCATTGTCGTGTGGCCGCTGTGACCTGGGTGAGTGGCGGAAGTCGTCTTCGCGAAGTGCATGCTGGGTGTTGGCCATACAAAAGTAAGACTATTTCGGTAATGCGTTCTCCAAACGTACTATTTCTTACATATATGTTGAATTAATATTATTGACTTAAAACCCATACAAGGAACCAGGTATGTGTAGTTTCTCTCCAAAGCCCTTCCCGCCTCGCTTAAAGTCCGCTTGTACCACACTTACCTCCCTTTATATATAAGTATCCTCACGTGTCACACCGTTGTCTCCCCTTAGCGAAAACAGTGTTCATAGTGTGAATTCACGTTAAAGATAATAGTCCATGTTCTTCGAACCTCTTAAGGCTGCATTCGGATAAAGGTGTCATAAGTACGTGTCGTACACGGATATATTATATATGCGCTGTCTAAAATACTGTTCATCAGTGGAATATGTCTGTTTCTAAACAGACATAATTCACGATGAAGATTATATGCCGATGAATGGTTTGGGTTTTGTTCTAGGTTTCAATGATGGAGTGTGGATTGGGTTCAACGCCCTCAAGAACGCAAACTCTTTTGTATGGACCAACGGTGACCCAAACAAATACACCAACTGGGCCCGGAACGAGCCCAACAATTACCAGGGACATCAAGAAAACTGTGTTCTCCTGTATAGTAATGTGAGTGTTCTCGCACCATGCAATGGCAAACAACTCGCTGCGTCTTCATGGAATCAGTTTGTGAATGGTTTAGTTACTCTGCAGCCAGCCATTTTAAAATTTTGCCAGTAAATATTCGATGCCAATACTTATATACTGAAAATGAGTGAGTGAGTGAGTTTAGTTTTACACCCCTTTTAGCAATATTCCCACAATATCAAGTACACCGCAAATGTGCTTCACACATTGTGCCAATGTGGGGAATCGAACCCGGGTCTTCGGTGTGACGAACGAACGCCTTAACCACTAGGCTACCCCACCGCCCAATGATCCACTCCATCTTGAAACAATGCAATCAGCCAAACGAGTATATGGGTGGCATTCGCATTTTTTCACTGAAGTAAAATCATTTTGGAAATGTCCAGTTGTTGAACAATCTTAAATTAAATATTTGGAAAAAGCCCCGTGACTCCCTTCATTTTGAGACACTGCAGTAATTTAATCTGTTATCGACTTACACTGGGTGTTTTGAGTATATTTGTTTCCCTTCCTGTATGACAAACCAGCAGAGCTGTTATTCTATATGTTTGATCTGTTTAGTTGATCTTCCTGTAACATATATGTACCACGACTTCATCACCTCGAAAGTTTATGTTGCATGCTTTGATGCATGACCTTGAGGATGCTGTTAACTGACGTTAAAATGCCTCAAGGGACAGGCAGGTATTGTCACGTATGCGCTCGCAATATTCTAATAGTTTCAATTGCCAAACAACTAGCCTAATAAGATTATCTGTTGATTGGATACAGGGTGCTCAGTGGAACGACGATGCCTGTGACGCGAACCATGGCTATGTGTGTAAAGCTCCGAAACAGGTGACGGCCGTCACCCAGCAGTCGCCATTTACTGTGGGCTGTACAAATGTCAAGGTTAGCGTCACTTTGATCCTAAACATACCATACTGTTGAGTAATTACTAGGGCTGCGCAATATAACCGGTTTACCGGTATTTACTTGTTCAGACATGAAAACGATACGTATTGCGATACGCTGACATGCATTCGGAAAACTTCGTAACACTCGGGAATCTTCGGATATTTCCGTTTTTTTAATTGTTCTTTTCCCTGTTTCATTACTGCCAAATGTTACTTACATATTTATTTTGTCATGTTTAAAAGATTTTATAAAAGGTTAATCAATCATAGTGATTTTGTTGTGTTTTTGCTTTATAATCAAGCATTAACTCAATTATAAGTAGTTTTTGTTTTTTTAAATAATCCTTGCAATATATTGCAATACATATCGGAATATATGCTTCCGCATCGCAATATATCGCAATATGAAAATTCTCTGCAATACCCACCCCTAGTAATAACCTTCTAGCCAGCTACCAGTCCAGATGACAGTAAGTTAAAGGCAAGAACTTATGACAATCTTATTCGTCTTGAAACTGACGCACGAGTCAATATATACGTATACTTAACACCAGATCAACTATTCCTAAATATATATGAATTAGAACCCTTTCAGAACAGCGAGGGATATCAGCACTACTGCTACCAGTTCAACAATGTCCCGTTAGCGTGGCAAGCAGCAGAGAACATGTGCAAAACACGTGGAGGTCATCTAGCAACAATCAACTCCTAGTGAGTTACATCACTCGCACGTAAACGTACAGTTACAATGTGTTCAAAGGTTGTCTTCTCCAACAGCAAACAACGGCTTTCGTTACGCAATAGTGCTTCTCACATCAGAAGGAAATTATGACAGCTGGAATTCGATTTAGAATTAGATTAATATAAATTGTGACGTAGGGTCTTTTGGAATAAGGGACTCTTTTCTAACTGATGAGTTGGCTGTAATGAGTCTACACACGGCGGTCGTGTCCTACACAATCCAAGCCTTCAGTCTACTGTAACAGCTTCTAAATGTAACACGCATGATGCAAGTGGCTAGTGTTGTTCCACTGGCAAGCCTTGTTGTAATTGTCTCCTGTTACAACTCCAAATTTAAACAATTCAACAAGGTGATCTTTATTTCTAGCTGTCTTGTTTTGGTCTAATATCAAATAGCCACTATCATCTATGTTATATATAGTATACAGTCCCCGTGTTCTATGTACAGATATCCACAATGTTGTATGTTCTAGTATAAAACATCAGCCATGTTCTAGTAACTTATAGCCATCATGTTCTTATTTTCTAATACCCTACTTGAAGATATATTATAGTGGATATATAATCAAATTACAGAGAAAAGAGTCCTATTTATCCGACGAAACAGTGAATGAGAGAGTGAGTGAGTATGGTTTTACGCCGCTTTTAACAATATTCCAGCAATATCACGGCGGGGGACACCAGAAATGGGCTTCACACATTGCGCCCATGTGGGGATTCGAACCCGGGACTTGCGAACGCTTTAACCACTAGGCTACCCCACCGCCCCAGTGAATGAATGAAGGAATTTAGTTTTACGCCGCGACGAAATACAGTCTATTGAATGATTGATTGATCGATTAATTGATTGACTGATTGATTTTAACGCCATACTCAGCAATATTCCATCTATATGGCAGCGGTATGTAAATAATCGAGTCTGGACTAGACAATCCAGTGATCAACATTAAGATCATCGATTTACGCAATTGGGATTATAGTCCAGTGAGTTGGAAACACAAACTTGATTAAAAAATAATGACAAAACATGAATGGGGCACTGAAAATCAGCGATGACACCAGGTGTTTACCAACAAGAATTAGCATGGCCTACTCTGACAGTAACACCAACAGCTATGACTCTGCATAACACACGTGTAACGTATAACATGGGGATTCTGATTTGTTCAGTGACGTCCAGTCATTCGTTGCGTCCTTGCTGACCACCCGTGATGACGTGTACTGGATCGGCCTCACCGACGTCCCCCAGCCCGGCAACTACAGCTGGACCACTGGGGACAAACTGCTAAACACGCCATGGGACAAGAGTCATAACGGTGGGTTATGCTGGTGTTAATTTTTGTTTTTGTTTTGTTTTTTCTCGCTGTTTAGCATCGCACTCAGCAATACTCCAGCGCAGTCAATATCTCCAATCTGGACCAAACAATCAAGTGATCGATATTGTTAGATTGTATCCACGCAGTTTGAAGAAGAGATAATAGTATAGAGATATGATAGACATTGTACGAATACATATATCTCACCGAGGCAAGACAAACCAGTAATTGATAGTATACATATATATATTATTATATATAACATGCCAACGTCAGAAAACACCAATACTTTATTATTCAAGGACACAATTTCATTTGCTGTAGACCAAAAGTAAAATAACGGAGAAAAAAATGTGAATAAAGTCAGTGATGACACCTGGTTCCAGTAAAGGGTAAGCCTGTTCTGCCCTCCCTGTAGCACCTGTCACTCACTTATGTAAATATTTGTACATTTAAAATAAGATTATACATATTACCGCAATTATGTAATATGAACATGTCCCTGGTTAAACACACAAAATCATGTTCGATGTGTGGGAATACTTTAAACTAATCGGGTCATTAATGCTGAACCAGGTTCTGAAAGATCAACGTGTGTGGCCATGAGGACCACTCAGCCAACTGGCCTATGGCAGAACCTGAAGTGCGACATCATCAAACCCTACATCTGTCAGCTCCCACGGCAGGGGTTCACCCCACCGCCGACAACCCTTGCCCCCACGACCTCTGTCCCGCTCCCGTGCGCTTCAGGATGGAGTGGGTTTCAGTCCTACTGCTACAAGGTAATTGATAGACTAATGCTTAGTCTCTGAATAAATATAATTTTGATAGTAACAAACAAGCCCATTTAAATTGAAAAGGAGCCCCAGGGAGACCAGAAATTCAGAACCTGAGGAAATCTAGACTTGCTTTATTTAGGTCTTTACCACTGCAGAGAGAGCTTGGCAGTGGGGAAAATAATGTGGTTCAGGGACTGTGAGACATACTAGGTAATTGATTGCGCTCGGTCTCCCAGCCGGAAACCCATATGTACAAGAAATATATACTACTCAATATTTCCTAGGGACAAAAATAGTCATCTTCAGTCAAAGGTGTTGGTGGCCTCTTAGCAATGGTTGAGTCTTACAAAATGAAGGAAAACTTGACTTGGATGTATTCCTCTATATTCGTACAATGCAACGTTTCAGTACACGTGTTTGTACATTAATTTTATCAATTGAGTGATCGACAACTAGGGAACAATTATGTAATTTAGATTAAATATTCACAGATTAAGGAACACACTTACAAGGTCAACGAAGTGATGAAACCTTTACCCACTGTAAAGTGGGGCTAGGATACAGATTCGGGTTCTCTGTGTCCATCCTTCTGTCCTAATGATTTTTCTAGAACCACACCTGACACAAAGATGACATTTTTAGGGGGACAGAGGAACAAATGGATGACCTAAAGGACAAATATGTTGATCCAATGAAAGAGTCAACTTTATTTATGCCCTTGTTCCTTTAAACATGATGCAAAGTGTTTACCGCCTCCTTACTTACAACAACAGATGGCATTTTGAATACTTTAGGATTAGTGATGAATGTTTTTGTAATACATAGTTAATGTCTTTGTGAAGGTTGAAAAACAGCCATTAAAAATACTTCACATTGTTTCCGCCTTTCTTTAATATTTTATTCGTTTGTTCAGATGAGAGTAGGGATCTTTTCAAGAATGTGAAACATATGCACGTTTCAGTTAAGTCCTTAACAGATGCATTTGACATCATATAATTTCAAAGTTTATGTGTTTGGATTTTCAAGGCAACACAATCAATGAAGATTTGGGTGTTTCCACAACTAGTTAGGATATGTGCTTATAGTTATAACGTTTTTCGCTTACAACGGCAGTTGTTACTCGTTTCAAGTATGGGGACGGCACTGATGATTCTGTTACCTTGTTAGTTCTGGTCCTGCCTCTATATGTATCTGTGGCCTACTCTGTCACGGACTACAGCAAAGATTGTAATCAAACCACCACAGCGGTATAAGAGCATATATTACATATATCAACATATCTACTACACCAAGTGATTACGGCAGACATTGTCATCAAACCACCACAGCGGTATAAGAGCATATATTACATATATCAACATATCTACTACACCAAGTGATTACGGCAGACATTGTCATCAAACCACCACAGCGGTATAAGAGCATATATTACATATATCAACATATCTACTACACCAAGTGATTACGGCAGACATTGTCATCAAACCACCACAGCGGTATAAGAGCATAAATTACATATATCAACATATCTACTACACCAAGTGATTACGGCAGACATTGTCATCAAACCACCACAGCGGTATAAGAGCATAAATTACATATATCAACATATCTACTACACCAAGTGATTACGGCAGACATTGTCATCAAACCACTACACAGCGGTATAAGAGCATATATTACATATATCAACATATCTACTACACCAAGTGATTACGGCAGACATTGTCATCAAACCACCACAGCGGTATAAGAGCATATATTACATATATCAACATATCTACTACACCAAGTGATTACGGCAGACATTGTCATCAAACCACCACAGCGGTATAAGAGCATATATATTACATATATCAACATATCTACTACACCAAGTGATTACGGCAGACATTGTCATCAAACCACCACAGCGGTATAAGAGCATATATTACATATATCAACATATCTACTACACCAAGTGATTACGGCAGACATTGTCATCAAACCACCACAGCGGTATAAGAGCATATATTACATATATCAACATATCTACTACACCAAGTGATTACGGCAGACATTGTCATCAAACCACCACAGCGGGTATAAGAGCATATATTACATATATCAACATATCTACTACACCAAGTGATTACGGCAGACATTGTCATCAAACCACCACAGCGGTATAAGAGCATATATTACATATATCAACATATCTACTACACCAAGTATGATATATCAACATATCGGCAGACATTGTCATCAAACCACCACAGCGGTATAAGAGCATATATTACATATATCAACATATCTACTACACCAAGTATTACGGCAGACATTGTCATCAAACCACCACCAGGCATATATTATTATCAACATATCTACTACACCAAGTGATTACGGCAGACATTGTCATCAAACCACCACAGCGGTATAAGAGCATACTACACCAAGTGATTACATATCATCAACATATCTACTACACCAAGTGATTACGGCAGACATTGTCATCAAACCACCACAGCGGTATAAGAGCATATATTACATATATCAACATATCTACTACACCAAGTAATTACGGCAGACATTGTCATCAAACCACCACAGCGGTATAAGAGCATATATTACATATATCAACATATCTACTACACCATTGTCATCAAACCACCACAGCGGTAATTACGGCAGACATTGTCATCAAACCACCACAACGGTATAAGAGCATAAATTACATATATCAACATATCTACTACACCAAGTGATTACGGCAGACATTGTCATCAAACCACCACAGCGGTATAAGAGCATATATTACATATTCAACATATCTACTACACCAAGTGATTACGGCAGACATTGTCATCAAACCACCACAGCGGTATAAGAGCATATATTACATATATCAACATATCTACTACACCAAGTGATTACGGCAGACATTGTCATCAAACCACCACAGCGGTATAAGAGCATATATTACATATATCAACATATCTACTACACCAAGTGATTACGGCAGACATTGTCATCAAACCACCACAGCGGTATAAGAGCATAAATTACATATATCAACATATCTACTACACCAAGTGATTACGGCAGACATTGTCATCAAACCACCACAGCGGTATAAGAGCATATATTACATATATCAACATATCTACTACACCAAGTGATTACGGCAGACATTGTCATCAAACCACCACAGCGGTATAAGAGCATATATTACATATATCAACATATCTACTACACCAAGTGATTACGGCAGACATTGTCATCAAACCACCACAGCGGTATAAGAGCATATATTACATATATCAACATATCTACTACACCAAGTGATTACGGCAGACATTGTCATCAAACCACCACAGCGGTATAAGAGCATATATTACATATATCAACATATCTACTACACCAAGTGATTACGGCAGACATTGTCATCAAACCACCACAGCGGTATAAGAGCATATATTACATATTTCAACATATCTACTACACCAAGTGATTACGGCAGACATTGTCATCAAACCACCACAGCGGTATAAGATAAGAGCATATACATGTATTACATATATTAACATATCTACTACACCAAGTGATTGCTGTGGCAGGTACAAATGGTTTATGGCGCGAGATGTCGATACAGAATACCCTTATTCATTTTTGTTTGATGCTGCTCATCAAGCAACACGCGGCAGTGTGACTGTACATTAGTGAGTGAGTGAGTGAGTTCAGTTTTATGCCGCACTCAGCAATATTCCAGCTATATGGCTACGGCCTATGAATAATCGAGTCTGGACCAGAGAATCCAGTGATCAACAGCATGAGCATCGATCTGCGCAATTGGGAACCGATCACATGTGTCAACCAAGTCAGCGAGCCTGACCACCCGATCACGTTTGTCGCCTCTTACGACAAGCATGGGTTACTGAAGATCAATATTCTAACCCGGACCTTCACGGATCGACTGTACATTAGAGCGACGGATTCCAAAACAAGCCGACAGAATTACTCCGCTTGTAATTGTAAGAATACGATTAGGCTCCCCTCTACCCGCTCACTTCCCTATTTTAGAGAGCCGGCGAACAAGGAAAACGAGACCATTTAGAAGCCGTTCCTATAGAAGGAACTTGAGCACATTCCTTAACAAGATGGCTGAAAGTATGTGGTATGAGGAATTCGACCATAAAAAAACCTAATTATTCATTGTGTTGAAAAAGGAACTATTTTATCACAGCTGATCACCACTGAAAATGTACACCACGACGTCCTCTCAACAAGGACGGTGTGATGAAGAACTTGTCCTTGTTGACCAAACAAAATGTTAAACGCAATTCAAAGACAGAATTCAGGATTTTTTCTAAACGAGCCTTCTGAAGCCATTGGTTTGAACATGCTAGTAATAGTATACATGCGATTTTAAATCCTTTCTATCAACCGATTGTGATACGTCATACAAAATGCTAACTTTTTTAACAGATGGTACTACAACGCCAACTTTTGGGTGGGTCTTAGTGACAGATCCAAGGAAAACAGTAAGTAGATGTCAAACATGAATATTATACTAATATACTCTTAAAACAGCAGTTAGAGTTACTGTATATTTGGTTTATTCAATAATTTATTTGGTTTATTCAAACTGCAATCATTTCAAATTATTGGTGTAAGTCGCATGTTCGTTAACATATCCGTTTTATACAGCATCTTTCAAAAGACTGCACGAAAATATCATAGAAAGACAATTGAAAACAAACTGCATGTGTAGTGACTATGACTAAGGTCAAAAGAGTCGGTAAAGAGTCAACATTTTGGTCATACGCTTGTCGATTTATTGAAAGTGGGAATTCGAAAATGTCGAGACTAAATGCTGCAAATTGCAACATCGCCAAAAGAGGTTTGGCAGCAAGAGTTCCATTCAGCCGTGGCACGTTATTTCAACGTACACCAGAGCAACCCATCCTCTTAATGGGATCTGTGAAACCGCCTCAATTCAAACGGTCGCAGTAGCGTGGTGGTATAGGGAACCACATCCTTCACACGAAGATCTGTCTTTGTGGTGGTCCAGGGGAATCTGGCAGTATAATGGTACATCAGCGTAATTCTTCCACCTCACCTTCTTTCGATTATCAACAGACCGAAAGAGTTGGTTCAATATTACCACGCTACACCACACACAGCTCGTGTCACTTTTGGCTTCCTTCAAAAATTTCCAAAGTCAGTGTCTTGCCACGGTCTCCAAGACCTCCGGATCTCAACCCGATAGAGCATCTGTGGAGTGAACCCGATAGACGTGTTCGTCAGTGTCAACATGCGCCACGGACACTTGTCAACAGGCAAAGGCGTTGTACGAATGATGGAGGGGCATTCCACATGACCTATTCCATGGACATAGTCAGCCTGTGCCGAGAAGATGTAAAATTATACAGTAGTTACACCCGATGGACGATCGATGGACAGTATGCCTACAGAATATGTGCCATGCTAAATTTAAAATCGCATTAAATGAAATATGTGCATTTGATATAACACTGTACAATTTTTAAACTTAGCCCTTGCGTTTCCATTTTGGGAAGCTTGTGTATATGCAATTTCCCAGGGCATGAAAGAAATACTTAATTTAAAACATATTGTTAAATAGTATAAGCTATTTTTCTCAGATGGTGTTCATTTTCAGTTGTCATTTGAGACTGTTGTGCACTATAGTGATGATGTAGTTCGTCCACTCGTCACGACGAAATTCCGGGTTCGATGCCGACACTGGTATAGTGCTTGAAGCCCACTTCTGGTATCCACCGCTGTGCTATTGCCGAAATATTGCTATAAACGGTGTATAACACTCAGTCAGAGTCATGTTGTAATGCTATGCGTACAATAACGTATCGACGTACTGCAATCTGCAGGTTTCGTGTGGACTGACGGCACCCCCTTTGACTACGCGAACTGGTACCTCGGCGAACCCAACAACTCCGGCAACAACGAAGACTGTGTGGAGTTCAACCAGTTCACCAAGCAATGGAACGACAACAGCTGCTTTATTGCCAAAGACTTCATCTGTGAAATCCCTCGCGGTACCACCGTCCCAACAACGACGATACAGACAACCACGCCAATGGGTATCGTACTTTAAAGTCATTTCTGATTGTCTGCTGTTGTATACTGACCTGCAAAAGAAAGTACACATTCCTGTTTGATAGCCGCTAACAAGAAACAAACAAGTACTAGTTATAGTTTACTAAGATGTTTCGCTAAGAGATCAAAGTCGCCGACAGTACTTTAGCAGGCGATAAAGTACACGTTTTGCATGACGTCACAGTGTATGACGTCACTACGCCATTCTCGTCTGCTCCCTCGTTATACCCTTGGTATCCGACGTCACGATGCATGTCAGTTGTCATCGCCTCGTACAGTCTTCTACGGTAAACTACTCTTAACAACCCGCTTCTTGGTTTGCAGTTGCTTCACTCGGCTAACATCAATGGTGGGAACATTACGTTATGCTTCTAGAGGATAAAATGTCTTAACTCGACTTACAATTAAACAGCGACACGGCACTGCTTACAGTCCCACAATGCATCCCTGGAATGTCGCGTGACTAGACAGCATCTGGAATTAGGGTTATTTACTGACGTTGGTAGTAGAAATGCGACGTTGATATTGACCCATACCATTTACGTTAATAACAAATGCAATTAGAACAAGCATTGTCACTAAGGTGACATAATCCCTCGCCGCAAATTATCAAATCAAACTTCAAAAGTAATGAAAGTTTAAGATGAAGTTAACTGTCAACAAAAACATGACCAATCAACCTCTCTTGATATCTTCTCTTTAGTTGTTCAAACACACAAATATTTTCAAGACTGACTTTGACCATGGCATGAATGTCATAGTGCATGAAATATGCTAAAATGGTACTAAAGAAATTGCTTATTGAAAAACATTCAAGGGAAGTCTTGAAAGTCTATGAAGAAAATCCAGTTATTTCAGGTTAACATGCTGAAATCTTCAAAGTGTCGCCATGACCTTAAAAATCAAGTGAAGGTCACCAATATCGACTGGGCCTTATCCTGCGCCTTCCCTAGATAAAGCTTGGTGTTGAATATGAAGAAAATCTAGCGATATCTTGGTGACAAGAGAAAAACGTTAAAGTCCCCTTGTCACCTTGAAATGAAAGTCAAGGTCATAGTCAACGTTTCTTAAGGTATTCTAATTCGTACGTACGGACGGGCGAACGGACGGACGGACGGACGGAGCCTAATACAGTATTCCCCGCTTCGCGCTAAACGCGCGGCGGGGGATAATAAGTTAGAGAAGATATTTAACCCGAACGTAAGCCCTGCTCAAACTGTGTTTATCATTTGTTTTCACGGCAACGTGCATCTTAACGTAGGGGGACAGACAAGTCACTGGAAGAGCCCGTCAGTTAGCCCTGAACCACAATTGTTAATTTAGGTCACCGACACCGTCGTGTTTCTGTTTGTTTTCTGCTTTAAATTTATCGTCGGTAAGTATTGGCATCTTAGAAAAGAAATACAGTTTGCTCTTCCCCCATTGCATAGTGTAACAAGCGTCCTCGTACTTTAATTATAATAGTTCAGGGCAAAAGTGTATCTATTCACACTAAACATGGGTATAGAGTGAACTGTATTTCTTAAGTTCAGTGGCCCACCCATGGCCCAGTGTCTTAGTACAGGGATCTAGAAACACTGTAGTGAGGATTCGTCTATTACCAGCCTCAGGGTACTGTGTGACACATAATGTAAGATGAGTATACTCGTGTCCCACAGTTGCGTGTGCGGGTCCCGACAGCGGCTGGGAATACCACAATGGCAGCTGTTACTTCATCTCGCCGGCGTGGGGCGCAGACGCTAAAAAGACGTGGTATGAAGCCCGCAGATACTGCAACAGTAAGGGTGGAGACCTCGCCAGCATCCACGACATGGACGTCAACAACTTCCTTACCTCACTGGTAAGTTTATTTGGAGCTGTTGTGTCATGCTGTATTTCACTGAAGAACTGGCGAGGTCAATATCGAAAATAGCAGAACGGTAGATAATGTTCATACGTGGAGTGTGGAAAAAAAGAGTGAGGTATGTTACTGTTGTTTCAACGACTCACGTGTAGCTTGTTACTGTTGTTTCCAGATAACAAAGCGGTCGAACGGCATTTACTGGATTGGCCTGAACCAGCTGGGAGGAGACAACTATGCGTATGTTCTGTAGCTCACCATCGTCAGTTACTCGTTCCTTCAATAGGGGGGCGGTGGGGTAGCCTAGTGGTTAAAGCGTTGGCTCGTAACGCCGAAGACCCGGGTTCGAATCCCCACATGGGTACAATGTGTGAAGCCCGTTTCTGATGTCCCCCGCCGTGATGTTGCTGGAATATTGCTAAAAGCGGCGTAAAACCAAACTCAGTCAGTCAGTCAGTCCTTCAATAGGTGACAATATGTAACCTTCTCAGAGGCTCTTGCAAAAAAATGGAACTCTCTTCTTTTTATTCTGTTCCGTGTCAGTTGGAAGCAGTGACTCCATCTGTACTTCCCTTTCTCACTTGTTTGGAATCAGTAATTCTGTTCATTCCTTTTTTTTACTTGTTTGAAATTTTTGTTTTCATTCTTGCTGTGCCAGATGTTTTAAAGCAGTACCACTGATTATTCATTGCTTTACCAGCTTTTCGGAAGCTGTTCCGAATATTTCTCACTTTGTCAGATGTACAGGAACAGTAATGTTATTGGTTCTTCGCCTTCTGACGTGTTTGACATGAGTAATTCGGTCTATTTCTTGCGTTATTAGCTGGACGGACGGATCACCGTCCAACTTTGTGAAATGGAAGCCAGGCGAGCCGAATGATGCGTTCGGTGGTCAGCTTTGCGTGGACATATACGGAGGGGCTACCGCAGGACCAGGTAAGGGAAGGGGGATGAGCGCATGATATTTTACGCCAGTGTCAGGGCTGCATTCAAATGATTAAAAGAAACACAGGTCGACTACCTGCTGATGAATTATCCACACAGTGTAGTTCCTAAAACGGCAAAGACACTGGTTAAACATTGCGATTTGCTCATACTATGTATCAGTAATTGGGGCGGTGGGGTAGCCTAGTGGTTAAAGCGTTGGTTCGCCATGCCGAAGACCCGGGTTCGAATCCCCATATGGGTACCATGTGTGAAGCCCATTTCTAGTGTCCCCCGCCGTGATGTTGCTGGAATATTGCTAAAAGCGGAGTAAAACAAACTCAGTCAGTCAGTCAGTATCAGGAAGTCATTGACACGTACGTTGAAATGTATTACTGTATGTCAACATTCACATTTGGTATATATACTAGTGAGTAAGTGAGTTGAGTTTTACGCCGCACTCAGCAATATTCCAGCTATATGGTTGCGGTCTGTAAATAAACGAGTCTGAATCAGACAATCCAGTGATCCCGTTAGTCGCCTCTTACGACTGAAGATCAATATTCTAACCCGGACCTTCCCGGGTGGTATATGTACTAGTACTTGCACCAACACTATATGTATATATCTACACTATACGTGCATCTAAATGTACATAGACAATATGTACATGTACCTTCACTATATCCACATATACTCTAACTATGTCCACATATAATACGCAATAGCCCCAATGTTAATTGACAGTCTTCATGGTGTAGTGGAATGAGCTTCCAGATTGATTGGAATGTGAGTGATTCGATTTAGAAATAGAGTCAATTTAATGGGTCTGATTTGTTTGGGTTTGTTAACCTACTGGCTGTATCTCAGTAGGTATGCAACAGAAGGTTCCAAGAGGGGACCAAACCACACATGCGTATGTTCGTATGAGTTATGTATGTACAAACGCTATGCATACCTGTACAGATTGTATCTATACTAAGAGAAACAATTTAAGGATGAAAGGAAACTTCAGGTGTTCCTTTAATATTCTCCAGTTTTCATCACCAGCTTTGAATAGCGCTGTGGTGATGAAAACTGGAAATATTAAAAGAACACTTGAATTTTCCTGTGACCCTTTATTTGTTTCTCTCAGTATATATACCGTATATCTACATATCCATACATGATATCTACATATGCTAACACTACAGAGATAAATACCTACTTAAAGCTCTTTATACCTTCCGTATAGTTACATATGCCTACATTATATCTCCATACAGGGTTGTGGAACGACGACAACTGCATGGACAGCAACGGCTACATCTGCAAGAAATTCAACGGCACCACATCCACGGCAACACCGTCCCCAACCCCGACTCTAGTGGGAGGATGTCCAGCTGGGTTCTCACCTGTCGGTAAGAAAGGGTTCATGCGGACCATACAGCATCTCTCACATGCACCCGACTCCCTCTTCTCCAAACATTTGTATATTGAGACTACAGTGTTTTCATTGCAATCACCCGCTTCCTATTTTCCAAAATGAATACATTGTCTGATTTGTAAAAACATTGCTTTATGTAAGAATCCGAACGGAGACCTACGAAGGTTCCCTTTACGGTACGTCATAAAACGGTAGTCCCTTTCTTCGTTTCTTATTATTGGACTGACTGACTGACTGAGTTTGGTTTTACGCCGCTTTTAGCAATATTCCAGCAACATCACGGCGGGGGACACCAGAAATGGGCTTCACACATTGTGCCCATGTGGGGATTCGAACCCGGGTCTTCGGCGTTACGAGCCAACGCTTTAACCATTAGGCTACCCCACCGCCCTCTTATTATTGGAGAAATTGTTATGCTGGATATCATACTTGTTGGTAACCTTGAGTGTTGTTAATTCATATGGATTAATGTAAATCTCCACATTTGCCTTATATTGCAGACAACAAGTGCTTCAGTATTGGTGGACGTACTACCGTTGACCAGAAAAATTGGACCGAGGCACGTGACCAGTGTCGTAAAGTTGGAAAAAATTTCGACATTGCCAGTATTAACAGTTATATCGAACAAGGTGAGTCAGGCTTGGTGCAATAAGGGTTTCACCCGTTTACATACCATTAAAGGGAGTAACTTAAAATTGCAATAAGAGACCAAATGTGATAAAAGACGTGATAGCTGTATAACCTAGCTTCAGTTTGTAGCATTTTAAATATGTTCTAAATTATGATTGATTGGTAAGTTTGTTTGTTGTCTAACACTGCTCTCAGCAATATTCCAGCTATGATCTGTAGACTGTAAATGATCGAGTCTGGACCAGACAATCCAGTGATCAGCGGGATGAGCATCGATCTACGCAACTGGGATGCCATGACATGTGTCTCCTCTTACGACAAGAATGGGTTGCTGAAGACAAATTCTAACCCGAATCTTCACGGGTCGTAAAATATATAAAATATTAGTTATTAAAATATGCTCATGTTTTTCAGCATTCCTATTGATGCTGATAAAACAAACTGGAATATCCGATTCCATATGGATTGGGCTGAACGACCAAAGCACCAACGGCCATTATGTTTGGCAGGACAACTCGGAAGTGACGTATACCAACTGGAACAAAGGGGAACCCAGCGACCGCTACACATACAGTCATTACAACAGGGTGAGTGGGGGACACAGCATCCGCTACACGTACAGACATTACAACAGGGTGAGTGGGGGGACACAGCGTCCGCTACACGTACAGACATTACAACAGGGTGGGTGGGGGGACACAGCGACTGCTACACGTACAGACATTACAACAGGGTGAGTGGGGGGACACAGCGACTGCTACACGTACAGACATTACAACAGGTTGAGTAGGGGGGACACAGCGTCCGCTACACGTACAGTCATTACAACAGGGTGAGTGGGGGACACAGCGTCCGCTACACGTACAGACATTACAACAGGGTGAGTAGGGGGACACAGCGTCCGCTACACGTACAGACATTACAACAGGGTGAGTAGGGGACACAGCGACTGCTACACGTACAGACATTACAACAGGGTGAGTGGGGGGACACAGCGACTGCTACACGTACAGACATTACAACAGGTTGAGTGGGGGGACGCAGCCTCCGCTACACGTACAGACATTACAACAGGGTGAGTGGGGGGACGCAGCCTCCGCTACACGTACAGACATTACAACAGGGTGAGTGGGGGGACGCAGCCTCCGCTACACGTACAGGCATTACAACAGGGTGAGTGGGGACGCAGCCTCCGCTACACGTACAGGCATTACAACAGGGTGAGTGGGGGGACGCAGCCTCCGCTACACGTACAGGCATTACAACAGGGTGAGTGGGGGGACGCAGCCTCCGCTACACGTACAGGCATTACAACAGGGTGAGTGGGGGGACGCAGCGTCCGCTACACGTACAGGCATTACAACAGGGTGAGTGGGGGGACGCACCGTCCGCTACACGTACAGGCATTACAACAGGGTGAGTGAGGGACACAGCGTCCGCTACACGTACAGATATTACAACAGGGTGAGTGGAGGTACACAGCGTCCGCTACACGTACAGGCATTACAACAGGTTGAGTGGGGGGACGCAGCGTCCGCTACACGTACAGGCATTACAACAGGGTGAGTGGGGGGACGCAGAGTCCGCTACACGTACAGACATTACAACAGGGTAAGTGGGGGGACGCAGCGTCCGCTACACATACAGACATTACAACAGGTTGAGTGGGGGGACGCAGCGTCCGCTTCACGTACAGGCATTACAACAGGGTGAGTGGGGGACGCAGCGTCCGCTACACGTACAGGCATTACAACAGGGTGAGTGGGGGACACAGCGTCCGCTACACGTACAGACATTACAACAGGGTGAGTGGGGGGACACAGCGACCGCTACACGTACAGACATTACAACAGGGTGAGTGGGGGACACAGCGTCCGCAACACGTACAGACATTACAACAGGGTAAGAAGGGGGGACACAGCGTCCGCTACACGTACAGAAATTACAACAGGGTGATTGGGGGACACAGCGTCTGCTACACGTACAGGCATTACAACAGGGTGAGTAGGGGGGACACAGCGTCCGCTACACGTACAGACATTACAACAGGATGAACGGGGGGACACAGCGTCCGCTACACGTACAGGCATTACAACAGGGTGAGCGGGGGACACAGCTTCCGCTACACGTACATACATTACAACAGGGTGAGTGGGGGACACAGCGTCCGCTACACGTACAGACATTACAACAGGGTGAGTGGGGGGACACAGCGTCCGCTACACGTACAGACATTACAACAGGGTGAGTAGGGGGGACACAGCGTCCGCTACACGTACAGAAATTACAACAGAGTGACTGGGGGACACAGCGTCCGCTACACGTACAGGCATTACAACAGGTTGAGTGGGGGACACAGCGACCGCTACACGTACAGGCATTACAACAATGTGGGTGGGGGACACAGCGACCGCTACACATACAGACATTACAACAGGGTGAGTGGGGGGACGCAGCGTCCGCTACACGTACAGGCATTACAACAGGGTGAGTGGGGGGACGCAGCGTCCGCTACACGTACAGGCATTACAACAGGGTGAGTGGGGGGACGCGGCGTCCGCTACACGTACAGGCATTACAACAGGGTGAGTGAGGGACACAGCGTCCGCTACACGTACAGACATTACAACAGGGTGAGTGGGGGGACGCAGCGTCCGCTACACGTACAGACATTACAACAGGGTGAGCGGGGGACACAGCGTCCGCTACACGTACAGACATTACAACAGGGTGAGTGGAGGTACACACCCTCCGCTACACGTACAGACATTACAACAGGGTGAGTGGGGGCACGCAGCCTCCGCTACACGTACAGACATTACAACAGGGTGAGTGGGGGGACGCAGCGTCCGCTACACGTACAGGCATTAGAACAGGGTGAGTGCGGGGACGCAGCGACCGCTACACGTAGAGGCATTACAACAGGGTGAGTGGGGGGACGCAGCGTCCGCTACACGTACAGGCATTACAACAGGGTGAGTGGGGGAACGCAGCGTCCGCTACACGTACAGGCATTACAACAGGGTGAGTGGGGGACACAGCGTCCGCTACACGTACAGATATTACAACAGGGTGAGTGGAGGTACACAGCGTCCGCTGCACGTACAGGCATTACAACAGGTTGAGTGGGGGGACACAGCGTCCGCTACACGTACAGGCATTACAACAGGGTGAGTGGGGGACGCAGCGTCCGCTACACGTACAGGCATTACAACAGGGTGAGTGGGGGACGCAGCGTCCGCTACACGTACAGACATTACAACAGGGTGAGTGGGGGGACGCAGCGTCCGCTACACGTACAGACATTACAACAGGGTGAGCGGGGGACACAGCGTCCGCTACACGTACAGACATTACAACAGGGTGAGTGGAGGTACACAGCCTCCGCTACACGTACAGACATTACAACAGGGTGAGTGGGGGGACGCAGCGTCCGCTACACGTACAGGCATTACAACAGGGTGAGTGTGGGGACGCAGCGTCCGCTACACGTACAGACATTACAACAGGGTGAGCGGGGGACACAGCGTCCGCTACACGTACAGACATTACAACAGGGTGAGTGGGGACACAGCGTCCGCTACACGTACAGACATTACAACAGGGTGAGTGGGGGACGCAGCGTCCGCTACACGTACAGGCATTACAACAACAGGGTGAGTGGGGGGACGCAGCGTCCGCTACACGTACAGACATTACAACAGGGTGAGCGGGGGACACAGCGTCCGCTACACGTACAGACATTACATCAGGGTGAGTGGAGGTACACAGCCTCCGCTACACGTACAGACATAACAACAGGGTGAGTGGGGGGACGCAGCGTCCGCTACACGTACAGGCATTACAACGGGGTGAGTGGGGGGACGCAGCGTCCGCTACACGTACGGACATTACAACATGGTGAGTGGAGGTACACAACCTCCGCTACACTTATAGGCATTACAACAATGTGGGTGTTGGACACAGCGACCGCTACACATACAGACATTACAACAGGGTGAGTGGGGGGACGCAGCGTCCGCTACACGTATAGACATTACAACAGGGTGAGTGGAGGTTCACAGCCTCCGCTACACGTACAGACATTACAACAGGGTGAGTGGGGGGACGCAGCGTCCGCTACACGTACAGGCATTACAACAGGGTGAGTGGGGGGACGCAGCGTCCGCTACACGTACGGACATTACAACATGGTGAGTGGAGGTACACAGCCTCCGCTACACGTATAGGCATTACAACAATGTGGGTGTTGGACACAGCGACCGCTCCGCACATACAGACATTACAACAGGGTGAGTGGGGGACGCAGCGTCCGCTACACGTATAGACATTACAACAGGGTGAGTGGAGGGTACACAGCCTCCGCTACACGTACAGACATTACAACAGGGTGAGTGGGGGGACGCAGCGTCCGCTACACGTACAGACATTACAACAGGGTGAGTGGGGGGACGCAGCGTCCGCTACACGTACAGGCATTACAACAGGGTGAGTGGGGGGACGCAGCGTCCGCTACACGTACAGGCATTACAACAGGGTGAGTGGGGACGCAGCGTCCGCTACACGTACAGACATTACAACAGGGTGAGTGGGGGGACGCAGCGTCCGCTACACGTACAGGCATTACAACAGGGTGAGTGGGGGGACGGAGCGTCCGCTACACGTACAGGCTTTACAACAGGGTGAGCGGGGGACACAGCGTCCGCTACACGTACAGACATTACAACAGGGTGAGTGGGGGACGGAGCGTCCGCTACACGTACAGACATTACAACAGGGTGAGTGGGGGACGCAGCGTCCGCTACACGTACAGACATTACAACAGGGTGAGTGTGGGGACGCAGCGTCCGCTACACGTACAGACATTACAACAGGGTGAGCGGGGGACACAGCGTCCGCTACACGTACAGACATTACAACAGGGTGAGTAGGGGGACACAGCGTCCGCTACACGTACAGACATTACAACAGGTTGAGTGGGGGGACACAGCGTCCGCTACACGTACATACATTACAACAGGGTGAGTGGGGGACGCAGCGTCCGCTACACGTACAGACATAACAACAGGGTGAGTAGGGGGGACACAGCGTCCGCTACACGTACAGGCATTACAACAGGGTGAGCGGGGGACACAGCGTCCGCTACACGTACAGACATTACAACAGGGTGAGTGGGGGGACGCAGCGCCCGCTACACGTACAGGCATTACAACAGGTTGAGTGGGGGGACGCAGCGTCCGCTACACGTACAGACATTACAACAGGGTGAGCGGGGGACACAGCGTCCGCTACACGTACAGACATTACAACAGGGTGAGTAGGGGGACACAGCCTCCGCTACACGTACAGACATTACAACAGGGTGAGTAGGGGGACACAGCCTCCGCTACACGTACAGACATAAACACAGGGTGAGTGGGGGGACGCACCGTCCACTACACGTACAGACATTACAACAGGGTGAGTGGGGGGACGCAGCGTCCGCTACACGTACAGACATAACAACAGGGTGAGTAGGGGGACACAGCGTCCGCTACACGTACAGGCATTACAACAGGGTGAGTGGGGGGACGCAGCGTCCGCTACACGTACAGACATTACAACAGGGTGGTGAGCGGGGGACACAGCGTCCGCTACACGTACAGACATAACAACAGGGTGAGTAGGGTGGACACAGCGTCCGCTACACGTACAGACATTACAACAGGGTGAGTGGGGGGACGCAGCGTCCGCTACACGTACAGACATTACAACAGGGTGAGTGGGGGGACGCAGCGTCCGCTACACGTACGGGGACACAACATTACAACAACAGGGTGAGTGGGGGACACAGCGTCCGCTACACGAACATTACAACAGGGTGAGTGGGGGGACAGCGTCGCTACAACAGGGTGAGTGGGGGACACAGCGTCCGCTACACGTACAGACATTACAACAGGGTGAGTGGGGGACGCAGCGTCCGCTACACGTACAGGCATTACAACAGGGTGAGTGAGGGGGGACGCAGCGTCCGCTACACGTACAGACATAACAACAGGGTGAGTGGGGGGACACAGCGTCCGCTACACGTACAGACATTACAACAGGGTGAGTGGGGGACACAGCGTCCGCTACACGTACAGACATTACAACAGGGTGAGTGGGGGGACACAGCGTCCAGGGTGAGCGGGGGACACAGCGTCCGCTACACGTACAGACATTACAACAGGTTGAGTGGAGGTACACAGCGACCGCTACACGTACAGACATTACAACAGGGTGAGTGGAGGACACAGCGTCCGCTACACGTACAGGCATTACAACAGGGTGAGTGGGGGAACGCAATGTTAACGCCGGGGTAAGTGGTTGTACAGGTGCGGGTGTACAACTTGGGGGATTCCTGAGAACAGGTTTGGTCACGGAGAAACTGGGTTTCAACCTCACGATCTTAGATTTCTTAACTGCGGAAGCAACTCTGCACTACTACAGTCGAACCCGTTGTGTCGAAATTACAGTTGTCTCGAAGTAAGAGCCTCGTCCTTGGGTATTCTATACATGAAGTCCAACATTAAAACCTATTACACGCTTTACTTAAGCAACAGTTTGACATGTGAAATGTATAATCTATGTTTCTTAGGATAGATTAGACTTGAAAACACTTCAGCAAATTCAGTTTCGAGTCTGTTAACAAAATGTTTACTGTTTAATGTAGTAGTCAATTTGCGTCACCACGTGTCTTTCAATATTTAGAGAGGATATGGTTATGGTGGACCAAAGATCGTTAAGTGTTACTGCTGACGCCCCACAAGAGAGTGATGACAATAGTTGAGACAGCATGTCATACGGCTGTGTTTAACAATCATGTTTGTAGACACATTTAGTAACCTGAATGATAAGTGGATTCCTTTCTCACCTTGCAGGAGGACTGTGTGGTTGTGTTGACCGATTCTGCAGCAGTACTTGGCCGCTGGAATGACGAAAAGTGTAGCGAGAAGAAGGGATTCGTCTGTCAAACTTACAAAAGTGAGTATCATAGTTTTTGTCTTGTATTCTTCTTGTAACACTCGTTATGACATTACCTCGCGAAATTTTAACACAAGACCTCAGCAGGTAAAGTGACACAAAGCAGATCGTTACACATGTAGAAAACTGTTGTGCAGATAGGAAGAGTCAAATAGGCTTCTATTCGTCTACATTTTGCTTCTGTGTGCTTAAATATTGGTCATATCATTGGTGAGGCTGCTTACATTCTACTAAGAATTAGTTAGTGGGATACATATGACATCACACAAAATCCAATACGATGTAACCCGTACTGAAATGTGTGCGTGTACAGTTTTCGTCACCGTTTTTGCCAGCAAATCACTTTCCCTAGTCTTGTATGACATGGGGCGGTGGGGTAGTCTAGTGGTTAAAGTGTTCGATGCCGTAACATTGCAGGAAAATGGCTAAAGGCGGCGTACAATTAAATTCACTCACTCACCCTTAATGACAAACCTCAGACTGAAAATTCTTATCAGTTCCCTTCAAAGACTGTCGTCATATCCAATACACTAGCTATAAAATCACAATGGACAGCGATATGACTAGTCAATTGTTTGTATTTAGATTAGCGAGCCACGGATCACTCCGAACTTCATACTGACAGGTTTCTTTGGTCTGCCGCCACATTAGTTAGAATGCCTCCTCGTTAGAATGAGAAAGCCACAATAACTCGGTGCGCCTAGTGGCTGCAGGAGTTGTATACTCCCCAGGGAGTTGAGACTGATAATACGATGTGCCGTTGAGATTGACATCCAATGATCGAGGGGAAAATACCAGCGCCATGAGCATGTATTAGTTGCCTGGATATGTGCGCTATATAAATATCCTATAATAATAATAATAATTAGTTGATGAAATCAAAACTGATCAAGTGTATATGTATGACAACGTATATAATTTACTTACATGCATGCTCTGGGCCTTGGGGTAACCATGTGGTTACAGCGTTCTCACGTCACTCCGAAGGGCCAGTTCGATGCCCAACATGGGTGCAATGAATGAACCTCACTGTTAGTGGTTCCCCTGTGATATTGCTGGAACATTGCTAAAGTCGTACTAACGCATGCATCCTCAGTTCGTCACGGGCGAGAATACACGTTTTACCGACATCCACGAATCCCATACTCGTTGTCAGTATGGAGTAACTAAAGGAACGTCACATGATCCGTCTTCTGTGTGTGACCTGAACCCAACCACTGTCTGATCTGTGAATCAGATGATCTCAAGGTCGCACTGCACATTTCACACACTGTCAAGCAAGAGACAGTTTAGATTAACAACTAGTCTCTGAAATGAACATATTTTACTGAAAAAAAATTCATAGTAAAAAGAAATAAAATATAATGAAAAGGATCCCTGAGACTTTCTTAATTTTCAGACCTTAAGCTGAGAAAATCTAGACTTGCCACATTTTCTAGACTTGCGTGGACTTTCTTGGATTTATTTGTTTCAGGGTCTGTATGACAGACTAGAGACATTTCACCATCAATCCCGTCTCTAAAATGAAAATACTAAAGAAAATGGAGTTGTTAGATTATCTCAATAAAAAGTAATACAAAAGAGGCGACTAAAGGGATCTTGAGGATCAGGCTTGCTGCCTTGGTTGATGCATTTCATGGTAACTGCCATCAGCAAATCACATGACGTCTATCACTGGATTGTCTGGTCCAGACTCGATCACCAACAAATCGCCGCCATGTTGCTGAAGTATCGCTGTGTGTAGTATAGTTGAACAACAGACATACATTAGCAATCTTAACCAGAGGCCATGTTCAGGTAGTGTTATGCCGGGGAGCTTTCTTTTGACAGTGTCGAGACCATTGTTTCTGGGGGTAATTTGGTGATTGTATATAAATGTCCATCTTCATCGTGAAACTAAATCGCAACAAAATTAAAGTTTAGAGGAAATTCCGATAAGGATACAACTATCAGAATCATGATGTATATGTCCTCCCTAGGTACCGCCTATACCACCTCTGCGCCCTCACAGACAACCTGCAAACCTGGATACCAGCACTTCGGCACGAGCTGTTACCGTGTTGTGACGTCAGCCGCAGCGTGGCAGGCAGCGCAGACGACATGTCAGACCGATCAAGGAAACCTCGTGTCCATCACCGACTTGTACGAACAGTCCTTTGTTGACACCATCGCTCACGTCAACAATGTCGCGGGTGGCTTCTGGATTGGTCTTTCTGATAAAAAGGTATTTTAGTTAAGGAGCCAAATGTTCAACTTGTAGAATGTATGGCAGTTTCGTCGCTTTTTCAGTTTTTGCTCATTTCGGTCTCTTGCTAATTTAGTATTTGTCACTTTATAGGTGAGAATATCGCTTTGGCATTTGCAGTCAAGGTCAAGACATTGTTTGCTACTTTGCAGGGTCAGGCAATAAATATTTACTTTTTAAACTGTGTGATTCTTAGTTCCCCATTTTTGATAATTTCCATAGTTTTTTTACCCTTTGCTCCTTATCAATTGATATATGTATTGTTGGATAATCGAGTCTCGATATTTTCTGAAGGTGTTTCTGGGGGTTATATTTTACTGGAAATGCACATAACGAACGACGGTTATTACGAACTAATATTTCTGGTCCCTTTGAGTTAACCGTAGGTCACAGCACATCATATCATTAGAGGGGTACAAGTGTGCCATCTAAGGCCCCGTATATTTGCTGTGTAGAGTAAGGTCTTTTGCTTACAGTCCAAACTGATACATTTCCATATTGTTTTATCCTTCTGCACCTCCCAACAATGTTTGACCTTAAACCTGAAAAGCTGCAGGCCCTAAGTACCCAGAACCATAGATAGTCGTGGGTCCTGATCAGAATGTGTAGGGCCTATATTTCAATATGCAAATAATACTCTTAGTAACTGAAAACTGTCGGCCTTAAGGACCTGCAGAAAACAAAAGCTTTTCGTCCGAGTGGTTTTCAGTCGGCTTCGGGCCTAAGGACTAGTGGTGTTCCGATTAATTGAAATAATCGAAGATTGGTCGTAGTGACCAAACGACCAAGCAATCGATCACATTTACTCATAATCGAACACAAACGATTTTGGAACTACTGTTTTACTCTTTGAAACACTTGACGATGGAACATATCTTCGAAGTTGTCAGGGCCTGAAAACTTGTTTACTTCTTAGAAAACTCACTTCACTAACTGAAAAGTCATGACTGAATATTTCTTGAAGACTCCAGGAAGTTCATGTTCATGATATATTAGTCATCACTTTAAGAAGCGAGTTGCATCATGTTATACTTATCTGCATTAACAACCTGCATAGGAAAATCTGAAAAATGATGCTAACCATTTTTTTTCGATGATAGTTCGTTGGTAATGAAGCAATCATCAATTGTGAGATTTTTTTTCAGCCAATTCCCAACACTACTAAGGACCCACGTTTATTTCGAACGCTGCCTCCCAGTCTCTCTAAAATCAAAACAGTGTAAATCAAAACATACTAACTCGTACTGTTTATGTCAAAGAGAATTAATGGTGTTGAATGACTTTGCTTTCTAAAAAAGCCAATTGTCTATATCATAGTTGCCTTCCTTAGCATTTGTCCGTTATGTGTCCCTCAATGCCCTCCCATCTGTATGTGTCTTCATCCGCAGACCCCAGGCATCTACGGGTGGTATGACGGTTGGCCTGTCCTGTTTACCAGATGGGGTAAGGATGAGCCGACTCGGAACACCAACGAGGGGTGTGTGGCTCAACAAGGCCTGACGTGGAATGACACTCTGTGTGCCCGAAGTCTCCCTTTCATCTGCGAAATAAGTTCAAGTAAGAGTGAATTATCACATATTTCCTGAATCTATCCAAAATCAGGAAGAGAGTTTTATGGACTTCTTCATTACGAGGAACGCAACGGTTCGGAGTATATACATACTCCTTTATCAGGCAGAGAGCTACATACAACCCTCTTCCTTATGTGTCACTTCTAAATGCTTTTCAAAGACCCACCCAAAACTATCTTAAATATATCCATTCTATAAAGTTAAATGTTTTATTATCATTATGCATTATCATATCGCAGTATATATGCCAGTGGGTGTTCTGATAACATATGTTAAGTATTTACCGTCATTCAAGATCTCCTGTGAACGGTATACAAGTTTTAGAATAGAATATTACGTATATAAAATGAATAATATGTGCTTTTCCTTCGTACAGATTTCATACAACTTCATTTCATTTTCTGTCATTTGTCTTTATTCTTGTCAAAGGACTAATAATTGTATAATACATCTCCTGAACCCGTGAAGGTTAGAATCGATCCTCAGTAACCCATGCTTGTCGTAATAGGCGACTAACTGGATCGGCTGGTCAGGCTCGCTGGCTTGGTTGACACATGTCAGCGGTTCCCAAATGCGCAGATCGATGCTCATGCTGTTGATTAATGGATTGTCTGGTCCAGACTCGATTGCTTACAGACAGTCGCCATATAGTTGGAATATTGCTGAGTGCGGCGTAAAGCACTCTCTCACTCACTCACTCACTATTTACTTCCTTACTTACTTACTTCCTTCCTGGCACTTCCATGTTTAATTTAGTGGCTAAAACCGATACAAACAGACCCGGTTATTTGACGTATTTTATAGAGATATCAGAGATATTTTGTGGACCGTACATTTGCACTGTTTTGTGGACCATTTTCAGTCTAATAACGTTTGTAATTTGTTTGTCAAATCCAATTTTCGAGTACATTGTTTTGCCTATGTCCGGTGTAACCAGCCATGATATTACTTGGTTATTGTTAACATTTTCAATAATGTTCAATGATTTGAAATATCCTTGATCAACGTTCTGTCTTATGTATACTTCATGCAGTACTGGACTATTGTCATTATATATATCCGTTGTCAACCTCTCTGTCACCTGCAGCGACACCACCACCGACCTCACCCGTTCCCCCAGGCTTCTGTCCAGACAAAACGTGGACTGCGCATGGCGACTTCTGCTACTTTGCTGCCCCTACCGAGCGGAAGTCGTGGCCGGAGGCCAACTATCTCTGTCACGAGATGGGGATGGAGCTTATCAGTGTACACAGCCAGGAGGAACTGGACTTTGTCAAAACCCTGCTTGAAGCAAGCCAGTCGACGTCCTCAAAATTCTCCTTCAGCCTCTTCAATAGACCCAATGTTTGGATTGGCCTTCAAAAATCACGAAACGGTAAGCAAATGGATGAGGAAGCGCTTCCCAGTAGGGGATGAGTTGCTGGAGATGTGCGAGTGTGTTTAGTTTTACTCCTCCTTTAGCAATATTCAGGCAATATCACGGCGGGGGGCATCAGAAATAGGCTTCACACATTGTATCCTAGACTAAGGCTTAGTCTCTGAATATATATAATTTTGATAGTAACAAACAAGCCCATTCGTATTGAAAAGGAGCCCTAGGGAGACCAGAGATTCAGAACCTGAGGAAATCTAGACTTGCTTTATTTAGGGCTTTAGCACAGCAGAGAGGGCTTGGCAGTAGGGAAATTAATGTGGTTCAGGGACTGTGAGACAGACTAATTGTATCCATGTGGAGAATCGAAATCGGTTCTAACCTAATTGCTATAGATCTTTGTATATTGAGGCAGCGGGAGCTGGAGCTAGGTTTACAAACTGGGCCCCGTTCCTCAAAGCGATCGTAGCGCTAAGGTGATCGTAGCTCCTATACTTTAACATAGACTTCGACTGTCGTAGCGCCACGATCTCTCTGAGTAACGGGGCCATGGCATGCTTGTCGCAAGTATTGCTGTACTGGGTAGTTATGAAGCCTAGTGATTAGAGCATCATGTCAAAGACCCGGTTTCAAGGCATGAAACCAAATTTGGGGTTTCCGCTTTTGCGTCTGTGTGTGCTTTTATGTTTATGTGTTTGAGGGACTGAGTGAGTGAGAGAAAGAGTACATTTGACGACCCGACAAGAATTTGCACCACACGTCGTTTAAAACCATGTGAGTCAGATTGTTTTCTCTGAAAAGGCTAAACAATATGTGCCGATTTTGTATCATGTATTGTAATCTACAAACCATGTCCGCATCATACCTACAAACTGTAGGTTACACTAACGTGAATTGTGTTTCAAACTAGCAAAACACGTCCATGAATGGATGACAAATGAAAATATTTATTTATAGTGACACAGTATTGACGACTAATGTTTACACACTCGAGAGGAAAATATTGATTGGGTTCATTCAAGAGCAGATGTTTTGATCATCACAAGAGAATGAGTGAGTTAGTTTAGTTTTACGCCGCACTCAGCAATATCCCAGTTATATGGTGGCGGTCTGTAAATACTCGAGTCTGGACCAGACAATCCAGTTATCAACATTATTAGCATCGATCTACGCCTGACTGCCCGATCCCATTGTGGCCTCTTACGACAAGCATGGGTTACTGAAGATCAACTGTAGCCTGGATCTTCATGGGTTCATCACTTGGGGGCAATCCTTTATGCTCTGATGTTGGTCTTCTTTCACCCATTAACTATTTCCAGGAGGGTTTGGGTGGAGCGACGGGACGCCAGTCAATTTCTTCAAGTGGGCGTCCGGGGAACCCTCCGACGTGAACGGGACGAACAAGGAGAACTGCGTGGAATACTACCGCACCACCTACGCCTGGAACGACGTCACCTGCTTCACCGACAGGTCGTATATTTGCAAAACCAAGAAAAGTAAGACATTTCTCAATGTTGAACCTTTACACAATCAAATGCTTTCAGTGCGATTTTCAAACCTGGAAATACTTTCTTCTGAATGATTACTTTAAGGAATGTCTATACCTATTTAAGCTGGCTTGTTAGGTACTTACAGAAGAATTCAACGAAATCTACAGCGTCAGATTAACGAGATTTCGTATACAATATTTTCTCAAATGACTTATTCTAACCTTTCTATTGACGTTGTTTTTATCAGAGTCGAATTCGCCTCGATTTCTCAAGAAAATCAGCTAAACCCTATATAAAATTAGTTGTTTGTCATGCGTAATAGGTTAATCTACTACCTATTGTCAGTGTCTTGTTTGACAATTCAGCTATCTTACAGAGCATTACTATGGAAAAATAAAAAATTCAGTTTTGGTGTTCGATTATATCTATTTCACGAACGTTGGTGGGTAAGTTCTCACACTTATGAATTACATTCGCCTTAAGGGCTCAGTTTGAAGACCCTCGCCTCATCTGATTCCACTGGTATGATGACATAGAAACGTATGGTATGGACAGACAACTTTTATATTATTTAAAGAATAATGTAAATCCACACCATACGTTCTTATGTTACCATCCAACTTCCAAATGTCCATCAAGCAACTGGTATGATCCATACTTATTTACAAACGTTTGACAATTTTATGAATGACAGGTGTTCCGAAAAAGGGCAAGCACATCCTGCTCTATCAGTAGAAGCTACCGCTTCCACTCGCACTCATTTCTATCTGAGCTGTTATGGTACACTCGCTGCTAAGACTTAACATTATGCCGTAATGAAGGAAAGGTCACGATGCGATGTCATCTGTTCATGTCTTGAAACCATACGCGGAATGCTGAATGAGCGAGTTTCAAGTCTTAAGAGCTTTCCTATTTCCAAACAAAGAGTTGAATACGAGAGCTTTGCCTTTTCTATCGATGTAATAGAAAATGATATACATGGTGTCATATTCTCAGGTTTCCGAATTTCTGACAAATACAATACAGGGCCCCGTTCCTCAAAGCGATCGTAGCGCTACAACAGTCGTAAGTCTATGTTAAAGTATGGGAGTTACGATCAACTTTGCGCTACGATCGCTTTGAGGAACGGAGCCCTGGAGCCTTGGTGGTCGTGCAAATTTACACTTGTCAGAGAGTAACAAAAATACGTGGTCTGGACTTCCAGTTGCCAAACGTCCACGTTTAGTTCAAAGCCCGGTAACAGATCGCTGACATTGTGTACTGGCGATTTGGTGCCTTCCTGTAAGAGTTCGGGTTTGAATCCCCCATGGAACTCAACCCCAAAACGTACTAGAATCTGTACTTTACTGAAAAAGTGTAATCCCATTTATAACATACATTTCTATTATATGTAACAGGTAATTATAACTTTGGTTTTGCTTTTTTTCAACAGCTGTTCCTTCAACAACTACACTTTCAACCACTACGACAACAACTACTACGACCACACCATCAACTACAAAGCAAGTTACATACAGACCCAAATTTAACCCTAGTACTTCAACAACCCGGACCATACCTCCCAGGGTACCCCAACATGAGAAGCTCCACTCAGGTATTGCCAAACAGAGATCTTCAACATATGATTCAGTTGATTTATTTCTGTGATTGTTGTTTAACGCACCTAGCAATATTCCAGCTATATGGTGGCGGTCTGTAAATAATCGAGTCTGGACCAGACAATCCAGTGATCAACAGCATGACATCGATCTACGCAATTGGGATACGATGACATGTCATGTGTCAACCAAGTCAGCGAGCCTGACCACCCGATCCCATTGTGGCCTCTTACGACAAGCATGGGTTACTGCAGATCAATTCTAACCCGAATCTTCATGGGTTTCTGTGATGTGATGTCCTCATACAATGGAAGATAACCAGCAAAGATACACCAAGAAAACTCGTGTTATTACCTGGGCTATGCATATTGTCTTAACCAATTTCTCCGTTTGTCCACGAAAAACCTTTGTCCACGCGAACAGTAAGCTCCTTGCGTTTATATTCCGTGAAACAGTTCTCATGTTCTTACCTTTCACCACCCATTACTTCCTATTCTAGGCGCTGACCAGGGGCTCTCGGCCGGTCAGATAGCTGGCATATTGATCGGAGTGAGCAGTTTCCTCATCATCATCATAGTCATCATAGTTGTCTGGCGGCGTCGACATGCTCCCCCGCCCTCCTCACCGCCGTCTGGTTTTGACAACGCCCTATTCAGCAAGGATACAGAAAATGTGTCTATGTCTAACGGCACCAACAAGAACAGTGTGTATGTGAGTGGGGTACCGTCGGAAGAATGCTGACAGGGACGGCGGACACTTCGTTGTTTAAAGTATACGACATCGAGGTGGTTGGAAAATATTTCAGTAAGCAGGGATAGGTAGGTTCGAAAGGTTTGACAAGAGACATTTAATCGTCATTACGTCCATTCCTCTTTATGTTGCCACGGAGATGTATTATCTACCAACCACCGCATCTCTACAGTTAATTCTGTATTTTGTTTGAGACCCACGAGGTACAAGGTTAGATAGGACGGGTTTGTTGGTGATCATTTTACGAACGCTTCCGATGGACACGATGTCGGACAAGGGCGTTCATTTTCCAAAACCAAACGTACTAGCATGTGAGTGTATGACTGATTACTTCTCTACGCTGTTTTAGCAATATTACGGTAATATCACGGCGTGGGAAATATCGGCAATATTACGGTAATATCACGGCGTGGGAAATATCGGCAATATTACGGTAATATCACGGCGTGGGAAATATCGGGATTTACACATCGTACTGAATATTGAATTAAACCCGGTGTGATGGGAGAGCGTTTTAATCACTTGACTACACACCTGCCTGAAATATGAACTTGACAGACATTATACTGAAGGCAAGAGTAAAGTTATCTGGACCTATTATGAAGGATGTTTTTTAGAAAACTAGTTTTAAAATAATACATGCTGCAAAGGCGCCATGATACCTTTTAGGATGAGATGAAGTTAAATAAGGGGAAGGGGATTGAAAAAACGGTAAAAATAAGAAAGATCGCCTTCCCCTTGTCAGTATAAATTAACAGGGTCATTGCTGTTTACATTTATTTGTCTATTTACAGACAACTTACCTGGCACAACTGACTGCCTTTGTGCAGTTATCAGTCATATCGTCATAGCTTCATAGCGTCATACCATGCTATCTTCTCATGCATTTTGAACTAGATATGACTGTCAATCAGCAAACAGGAAAATTGTGAAAACGATTAAGTGAGAATTGTATAACATCGCGTGTTTGCGGAAAGGAGACTGCGTTTTGAAAATATTTATCACTATGGAACAAATTTCTCAAAACCTAAAGGTGTACCTTGAGGGAAGTCACCACCTTCCTTTTGTATTTCAGTCATATCTTCATGAAATCGTCACAATCTCTTTAAATGTCAGTTGTACTCACAAACTCATGGGGTTCTCCTTGCATAGATCATTTAGTAGTGATAGAGTAAGAGTGAGTTGATCCAAATTCTTCATCCTAAACCAAGAATATATGTGTTTGTCACAGAGAAGCGTGCCACCCAGGCGCTCAGCTTGTTACACTCTGATGCTTATACGATTCCCAATCGTGTAGTACCGATCAGTTGGTATTGGTTGGGATTTGGTCTATTGCTAGGTGTGCAGGTACTGTTCCTCCTTTCAATAACATATTATATATATATATGGAAATAAAGTGTATGTCTTAAAGCTGTAGCCGAATTACTCGCAGACAACCAATCAATACGTTTTATATATTTAATGGAACTGTTTGCAATCGCTCACATTTTGAATAAAAAATAGTTTCAATAGAGATGTGTAACATGCTGCTAAAAATCCTTACGGACCATCCGGTTCTTTCGTGTAAGTAAAGTTAACCTGATATGACTGTCTCGAACTTCGAATGTTGTTATAGTGTATACACGAAGGGTCGGACTGGGAAGCATGCGTTTTCATATTACTCTTCGTACAAAATTTAGTGAGAGAAATAATCATAGACCCTAATTAATATATCATTTTACATCAGCACCAATCGCATGTGTCATACACTGTGCATATATCTAAAACGTTTTGTTAGATTTGGGTGAATGAAAGATCATGGTAAAAGCGAAAGTGTAAATACCGAATGAATGTGAACATCTCCCGATGCCTTCCCAGAAGCACCACATGAAAATACCCGTCTGCATTTGTGTATGAAGTGACGTGCACAATTGAATTTTTAAGGAATAAGATTTGGAGTTCTAGCAGAATTTGTATGAAACGAGTAACACGAATTTGAGTTTGCACATGTATGGGAAGCCTCGCGTAAGGGGGATAACTCTTGCTAACCACAAGATTCATTGTCCAATAATTCCACTGTAGATACAGAAAGGTGACTATTTTTAGCATTATGGATGTTTAGTTCGGAGCTTTAGTATTTCTTCACATTGTACATAGCATTCAGTTTACTATCTGCATTCTTCTTCATGTACATTTATTTCCTGGAGCATTTGTATGTTACCCTCTTATTAAAGACATGGATTTTTTTGTATTGTTTCTTCGTTTGTTTGTTTCCTAATTACGCCGCAGTTACCATTATTCCAGCTATACTACATCCTCGATAATCTCCAGGGTATACGTCACGATCACTCTCCACTATACCCTGGATGCATCCACGGCTTGGGGCGATGATATCAGGTGCCTACTCTGGAGAAGTTGAGCGTACCAATCACTACTCACTTTCGCGTCTTAAATTATCTAACGTTTAAACTTGGCAACACAATTGATGCAGAGGTACTCTGAAAGAAGTAGAAGGAGTTCTTTCATATATTCTTTTTAAAGTTTCAGATCTGTCAATTTGTCTTTATTATTTCCCAAAAATCAGAGTGGCACAGCGAACAAACCTTTGCAACTGCGACCGCAATCTTTGTTGACACTGGCAAGCTCGGTTGTAACGGCGGCTTAGCTGATTGGCTACTGTGAGAATGCGGAGCCAGCCAAGGGAGGTAATAAAATCATCGCCCCAAGCCGTGGATGCATCCAGGGTATAGTGGAGAGTGATCGTAACGTATACCCTGGTGATTTTCGAGGATGGCTATACTACAGAGGTCTGTAAATATTCGAGTCTAGTCCAGAAAATTCCAAGATGGACATCTTGAGCATTATTCGTTGCAGTTGGTATGGGATGTAACCTAGTAACAGAACCCAACCACCCGATGCCGTTAGTCGCCGCTGACAACTACAGGTTGCTGAAGATCAGGTCTAACGGGGCGAGGAAATCTTAGTCATTGAATGTTAGTGAGTTATATACTCTTCACACAAAAAAAACTTGACATAGGACAAATTTGAATTTTAGGAAAATATTTGGCACAAACCAATCCATGTTGAATGCCAGCATGTGGGGTAATGGAAAGAAGAAACGTTTAACAAAACGTAACGTTACACTCACGTCTGTAGTGAATCGCTAAAACGCACCCTACATGAAATGCACGAGCATCATTAAATTGTGTATCACCCTGTGCTGAAGCCTATGACTGTAGGCATTAAAAAGCCACATCAATGGTACTCCACATGTATTGCTTTAAGCCACTATAGACGACAAGAGAATGAAAAGACTGACAGAAGCTCAACGACACAACGCCATCGGTGATGTGGCAAGGCATTACAGCGTGTCCAGACAGATCATCTCAAACCCGATACAAAAATACTGGGAGTGTTAATGACAGACCCAGGTCAGGTGACCTGGAGTTACCACCGCCGTCCAGGATCGCTACATCCGGATGAGACATTTTCGTTCAAACAACACGGCCGCATCATCCACAACAATCCAAATCCCTGGACTGCTCCGAATCTCCGACCAGACAGTGCGCAATTGGCTATGGAAAACCAAACTTTTTGCCAGAAGACCAGTTCAACGTCACGTCGTTCCCTACATCAATGTGATCCTTGGAGCATGACGATGCTCGACCTCACGTTGCACTGTTTGACAGGTCTTCCTCCAGCAAAACAATGTTCAGTTGTGACCTTGGCCTTCTCGATCACCCGATTTATCCCCCATTGAACATCTATGGGATACTCTTGATCGACGCTATCGCCAGCATAATCCGCCAGACACCTCAGACACTACAAGAATTGCACACAGGACTTCCGCAAGTGTATCAAAACATTCCTGAAGACAACATTCGGCGTCTCCTTTCTTCTCTGGGTCACCGCTGCCAAGCTGTTATCAATGCTAATGGTGGTCACACCAGATACTGACATTTTACTCTGACCAAGTGGCTTTAATAGCCCTCTATGGTTTTACCAAACACTTTCTGGATAATCATGTTTTGGAAATTTGTCAAGTGATGAATTTACTGTAACTGATCAAGGATGTCATGTTTGAATCAGTCATTTGCAGTCAGTAGGTGAACTCTAAAACAGCATGTCAAGTTGTTGTTTTTTAAAGAGTATATATTGTCTTTGTATTGCTTCAGTGTAATAGTATTTGAACAGATTTATTGTATATATTTGAACTAAATTTGTATAGTGTGTCGTGATGAAATAGAATCGGGAGTTGGACAAATATGTCATTTAAAAAATGAAATAGTCTGATTTCACATCTAGCGTACTTCCGGCATTGTAACATTCCACAGCCTTCAGTCAGAACACTTGGATTACAATTCTCTAATTGCAAGTGACAATCGAGTGACTTCGTCACAAGAATTGATCTACCCAGTTGTGCTATGATGACATACATGATGCTAGTCAGTGCACCCAGTCACCCATAACTATACTTGAATGAATGACGTTTCCGCGCTGAAGTTGGTTTCCGGAGCCTGAATTGATTATTTATAGGTCACATATTTACATACTACAGAGTCAACAAATACCAAACCGTGACACACAACCAGCCAGGTCACACAGTGACACCGCCTGATCCTTATAAACCTCGGACACTGATGACAAGCATTGGGCAATCGGGGTCCATTCTGCCTCGATAGGTTCTTACTCCATGAAAATTAACTACCGGGCAATAGAAAGTTGTCACTTTTAAGGTAATTGTATAAAAAACAAAAACGCTGGTGCAGTTTGAACCCAACCAAACAAATTCTCCAAAACGCAAAATGGTCCCGATAACAACGCTTCTGTACGAAAACTTCGTCCGATACGTGAATTTTTACAAACGTGAAAAACATATGTAGGACACTGGTCCAAATGCATGTTTGTGGCTTAAATACCGATGTTGGACAGAGCAAGCATACAATAACCAAAAGAACACTACGAATATGCCAAGACTTCCGAAAGCGCAACCAGACAGGGCGATCGGTATGACCAATGTGGAGGCTTCACAACGTCAGTTGGAAAGAACCTTCAACTGCAGCCAGCCCACCATCAGCAAAATGATAAACCGCTACCAACACATAGGCCAGACCCAATACCGCCCAAGATCGATAAGACCAAGAGTCACGGCACCGACCGAAGACTGCTACATCCGGTAGATCCACCGCCGGAAGAGATTCGTGAAAGTGTCAACGGCGACGACAGCTCTAGCTAGGACACGCCATTAGGAGCCGAACAGTCCAAGTTGGTATAGTATGGCTGGTATACGAGCCTATCGCCCCTTCTGTGAAATGGCCTTGACCCGTCTACACCGTCAACGCAGACTGCAATGGGCGCAACTGGGTGTCGATGGCAGCGAGGTGACTGGGAGAGAGTGCTCTTTACAGATGAAAGTCGGTTCAGAAACGATGGCAGAGCTCGAAGTTTTCGGCGTAGAGGAGAGTGACTCGTCACGCGGTTTGTTTGTCGAAATATGTATGGTAACCACTAGTCATTCCAACCCGCTTTTCACGCGCATGAATAATAACGCAAATACTACTACTGCTACTACTACAACAACTACTACTACTACTGCTACTACTACAACAACTACTACTACTGCTGCTACTACTCCAACAACTACTGCTGCTGCTGCTACTACTACTAGTGCTGCTGCTGCTAGTACGACCCGTGAAGATCCTGGTTAGAATTTATTCTTGTCTTCAAAGGCGACTAACGGGATGTCATCGTATCCCATTGCGTAGATCGATGCTCATGCTGTTGACCACTGAATTGTCTGGTCCAGATTCTATTGTTTACAGACTGCCACCACAACAAAGCAACAAAACGCATGAACAAAAACGCAATTATTCACAACAAAAATTGATTTGGAAATGTCAGCATTTTTAAATGTCTATCGATCGGTTTGAGAGATTTACGATTTCCAGCGCACGTATTGTGCTTCACATGTTTCATGTTCCCATCACCTGTGCATATAGTCGACCACAGTGTTGTATATTTTTAAGTCAACTAATGAAAGTAAGACAATCACGGATGTGCGACACGTCCATTGCATGAACCCAATGTGTAGTGAAGTTGGTACCGATGTTTTACAGTAATGTGAGCTCTCATTATTCCAGTCACATACTGATTCCCCTCTCCCTTTAGCAGGACCGTGTCTTGAATAAAAACTTCACTGGTCCCATCTGTGACGAGAGACCGCTGATAGTTCTCCTAGCACCTGGTGTCATCACCATTTCATAGAAATTCATATACACATGCGGGTGCTGTGGGAAGCCCATTTCTGGTGTCCATCGCCATGACATTGCCGGTATTGAACGGAATATTCACTCACTCAATCATGGTCGACAATGGACTCCGGGTTTAGTAGAAATTTCCAATGATTGCGAAATGCGTTTTATGTGCATATGACGACTATGGGTGGTAGTGCGTGAAGTTTTGACTTGGGGTTTCAATTGAAATAATCTTTAGCGATACTGATGTCATCAACCTTCCTATCCCCTAAGCTGCATTCGGTATCGCTGGTCCACCAACCAGTTCCTTTATCGTTCGAATTATGCACTGCGAGCTGTGTTGCATTTTGTTTTATAGGGATTCTTTTATCGCGTTCCTTGCCAAAGATTAAGATATTCTTAAAGAATCCATTTTCTCAAGCTTGGGATGAGCATGACAGGCAGATGTCATCCACTATCGCTGTGCATTTCAAACATTGCTTGTTGTTTTTCCAAAGACTAATTCCAGTTTTGGAAAACGTTGGATTGTATAGCAAGATTGTATGACAAGAGGAAGGCTTGAACGTTACAGCTGTCCCATATTACTGCAGCTCCAGACTTTTGATGCCCACATTACACTTTTAAGGTACATTCGAATTATTGTCCGAAGATTTCAAAGAGCGTTATACGATTTATGCTCGTAAGTTGTTTGATCGAGGTTCACAACATCGAGGTTAAATGCTTTTAAAATGGTTGCGGGTGAAATTTGTAAATTTGACACATTACCGAAAAAGATCATGTCCGATGTAATTACTAATTTGGACTTAGTTTGATCGTCGGTTCGAATCCCGGTTGGTACTGATTGTGTTTCTAGGTTTGTAGCACCATCCTCGTGCTTGTCGGTTCTTGGTTCCACATACGAGGTCAGCCTTGTGCCGAAAGTCTCAGACTTGCATCACTTACAGCAACATTTTGCTAACACACTGTGGCATAACTGGAAACTGTTCATACAGGGGTTAACCAAACATACTCGCTTGGTACCCGTGAAGATCCCGATTAGAATTAGTCTTCAGCAACCCATGCTTGTCGCAAGAGGCGACTGACGGGATCGGGTGGTCAGGCTCGCTGACTTGGTTGACACGTATCATCGTTTCCCAATTGCGTAGATCGATGCTTATGCTGTTGATCACTGGATTCTCTGGTCCAGGCTCGATTATTTACAGACCACCGACTGATAGCTGGAATTTTGCTGAGTGAAAATACTCATTTTGTCATATTGTATTCCATAGAACCAGCTAGCAATATTTACTCCACCATCTTAACAAGGAACGCTATATATCCAATGACTATATTTTATTCAACAAGCGTAGAGAACAATACTATTTGTACAAACATATATCTCATTTGAATTCACAACCGTGGAAATCTACAATGTTAGAAACAGTAACAGTATCAACTGTCAGACACAAATACCACCCACGTGACTATCTACACGTCACGTGTAACATGTCTACCTGAATGACGTCACGATCTGAGAGCACACGGTAGCAGCGAGGTGAGACTTTGACGGCGGGGTACAATAAGGCAACGGAGCTCATGGTACACTGCTACTGACACCCCGGGGACTTGAACCAATGTGGGGTGGTGAGGTTGGTAGAGGTTTTACGTTGCGTGTGATTGTTGCAATTATATAGCGTACGTGCGTGCGCGTGAACACTGAGTTACCATTCCACAATGGATACGACTCCTACACAGTATAGTGATCCAGTCGTTGTGCTCTCCCCTTTATGCCGTTCGCAGGCAGGGTAACAACAAGGACTATATGTTCACGGGGTTGGTCTGAGGCGGGCTGGAACAACCGATCTTCCGCTATGGAAAATGGAAAATTGATGTGGTCTGAACTAAGGGAGACAACCCTGTGGTACTGGTAAGTGTTTATAGACTGAAAAGATCAATTGTTTATATTAAGTACATTACTTTAAGGACGAGTGGTCTCGTTACAGGCCAAACTACAATGGAGGATAGTTTAAATCAATGTGGGAATTATTATGAAAATGAGTGGTTATATGCATGTGTACTTAACTCATGATCATATCACATGTTTTCACAATGTCTGCATTTATATAGTGGAATGTACTTGGGCAGCGTGTCAGGGGCGGATACAGCTTTTTGAGAAAGGGGGGGGTGCACACTATTGAGAAAAGGGAGGGTGCACACTTCACTTCACCAGAGTTTCAATGGTCATTTAATAAACTTTCAGGACAAAAGGGGGGGTGCGCACCCCTGCACCCCCCCTCTGGATCCGCCTATGCGTGTATATAATTATCTAGAAAGAAATTCGAAGACGAATAGCTTCACGTAATGTCTAACTTCGAATACATTAGAGGAGCGTGTTCAGAATACTGAAGAATATTAATTATATTCACTGTGTTACAGTGAAGGAGACTATTTACACAATGTCTATACTTCATAAGTCAACATGTAATCTATTATAAAGGAGAATTCATGTTATTTGTGTGTTAAGTCTCATGCAGGAGAGAATCCGGATAAGATATCTAAGAGAGAGTAGAATGAGAGTAGAATATTATGTGTACGGTATTATGAAGAAGTTATTATTAAACAATATATATTATCTATATTATCGTGAAGTTGTGGGGTTTTCAAGTATGGTAATAACTATACATTTCTATATAATATCTGAATTTATCACGAAAGAGCGCTGTATTATTTTATAGCCTCCTTTTTTTTTTATTCATATGTATTGTACGATAAAAAATATCGGAAATATTATAAATATAAACAAGTAGTTTTCTGTGTAGACCTGATATCATTTTTGTAGTCTATTTTGTTATATTATGTTACACCAAAGGTAATGAATAACGTACGGGGGAAATTAACAGATGCCAAAATGGGTGAGTATAGTCTTACGCTGCTTACAGCAACATTCCAACAACATCACGTGGGGGACACCAGAAATGGGGTTCACACATGGTGTCAATGTTGGTAATCGAACCGGGGTTTGGGGGATGACAAGCGGAAGCTTTAACCATATGGCCTAGCCGCTACTCCACCATCCCCATATAGTGATTCAAGCCCCCTGAGCGCTATATCGTACGTACTCCAACAGGAAACACTACCACCGCGAAAGTAAACATACTCTCCAGTTCTTGCAACGGCAACGATCACGGATAGGAGATAAAAAGGAACTTCATTTACAGACGTCCTACTGCAAAAGCCCAAAATGAAAACAACCATCTTAGCTTGTAACTGATATGAAAATAAAAACCCCGATTAATGCACAATGAAGTCAAGGAAACTTGACTGTATCGAATATATGTATCTTTAACAGCACACTGAATATGAATTCTAACACATGAGATTCTGGAATGGTTTTACAAATCCACATGGTTTTGGAACACGCCATGCAAGACGCCAAGAAATGGTTGGTTTACCTACAATTTATGTAAAAGTATGTACATAACTTACACAACAATCAAACAATATCATGATCTATGTCTATACCGAACTAATATAGGAAAGCTAATGTTGCTATTAACAATACGAAACGTATGAAAATCGTGTGAACATCCTGTTGCATAAACGTAGTCCTTCTGAACACAAGTACGATACTAAATATGACACAGTTATCTCCCTTTAGGCGTTAACAACGCGGTGTTGTCACTGAAGGTCTCGCAGTCAGGAATATCATATCGTAAGTTAACGTTTTGGTTACTTTGACCTTAACAACACATGGGAGGTATCTACCCATAAATATCACCATTGTACGATTCAAATAGGACTCAGGAACCGGTCTTGCAGTTGACGAGTTTGTCATTGGCAAGACAAAGACGCCTTCTTTACACTTTCAGTGTCATAATACCAATTTAGGGGACTAATAATTATATCATTTACAAAAACAAAAGTTTTGAACTAGGTGTGTGAAATGACATCTTGCAGCTAGTAACACCACCCATTGGGGCATATCCGGCTTAAAGTTCCCCCCAAACTAAAATCGTTTCCGTTTTCAGATTCAGCTATCGTTGTCCACCATCCTCGTCTCTTTGTTTTGGTGCCTCAGTCCTGGTCCTTGAAGAGGAGGTGTCCGGAGAAGGTGGAGTACATGTAGCCGTGGATGTAGGAGGCTCGGGACAAGAGCACCAGCCACACCTGGTCCCCGCGGGACAAGTTCAAGATGGCGGAGTTGGAGGCTGACGCCCAGTAAGGAATACTCTCGGCCCAAACCGTCGCCACCATCTCACCCTTCTTCATCAGATTTACCGCCGCCTGTTGAGACACGAAATGAGATGTGTTGGATGAAGTAACAATATCTGTAAGTTTACAACCACGTAACATCACGCCTTTGTTCATAGGTCCAATGTGAACTGTGCACCAATCGGGACTAAAAAATCTAAATCTTGATCTTTTGGCGGTCTCAGAAACAAACCATTTGTTTTGTTAAAACCTTTGATTTTTTCAAATTAAAACACCTCTTCCTCACGAAAAACGTAAGAAAAAACTTTCATTCTTTGATCCACGTCACAGTTGTCTCAAAACGTGAAGTACGTAGACCTGATATCTCTATCTTAAAGTTTAAAGAATAAACCAATCTGTCAATACTGAAATCAAATGTTATACGAAGTTTACTGAGAAAACAGTGAGTGAAATGCTTGACTTCCATATTGATAACACATATTTTTAGAAAACGATAAGGCATCGGTCAGGATGCCAATTTTGCTCATATCCTTGCTCAGATATTTATGGCTGCAGATACATCGGACTTTCTGTTGGGATTGGCAAATATCAAACACATGAATTTGGCCCAGAAGTTGATGTTAAACTTTAAAGGAAATTTGGTGTATAATCGGTGATCTTATGCCCGAGACCGTTACTGTCATGACAGTGCGCTTTGACGCATATAAACCAATGGTTTTTCACAGTGGAACAACAGGGTTACGTGTGTCTATAAGACCATACAGATAACAGTGCAATGTGGACAAATTCATCTTCTCTACAGATGTTAATTCGTTACGTTGTATAGTAGAGCAGCTACTCACTGTGTCTTTGGGCATATCTAAGCAGCGACAACAGTGGCCCTCTGTCCATGTGTCTATCGGTCTGTCTGTCCTCATCTGTCCGAGAGTGTTGTTACTCACCCTCTGCCTCCCCTGGGCGGCGACAACGATGTTGAACATGTAGGTGCCGTTATACGGGGCGGTGTAGCGGCCGGATTTGGTGTCGAAGTCCCCACCCACGTTGGTTATGATTTTGTCGAAGAGCAGATCGCTGTTCTGCTTCACCGGGCCGCGGTTGTTCTTCAGGCCTACGAAGAACGCTGTTCGACCAGGCATTGGGGCATCCTTACCTGAAACATTATTGAAACATTTTTGAAATCTCTATCCAAAAACGTACCACGTGTGTCATAAACGTCACCCCACGTGGAATCCGTTTTGGCAGTTTAAAAGAGCGAGACCAACGCGCATGCTGATTTCTCAACACCATGGTGTGGAGCAACACGTCACTTGAAAACAACCTGTGCTACATATGTGTTACTCATTAAAACAATTTCAAGTGTTGATGTTACTGTTGAGCCTTCTTCAGCGTTCGTGTGTTACTCATAGATCCTGCTTCAACTCTGTTGAGCCTTCTTCAGCGTTCGTGTGTTACTCATAGGTCCTGCTTCAACTCTGTTGAGCCTTCTTCAGCGTTCGTGTGTTACTCATAGGTCCTGCTTCAACTCTGTTGAGCCTTCTTCAGCGTTCGTGAGTTACTCATAGATCCTGCTTCAACTCTGTTGAGCCTTCTTCAGCGTTCGTGTGTTACTCATAAGTCCTGCTTCAACTCTGTTGAGCCTTCTTCGGCGTACGTGTGTTACTCATAGGTCCTGCTTCAACTCTGTTGAGCCTTCTTCGGCGTACGTGTGTTACTCATAGGTCCTGCTTCAACTCTGTTGAGCCTTCTTCGGCGTACGTGTGTTACTCATAGATCCTGCTTCAACTCTGTTGTTCTCGCAGGTGTTACTCCGTGTATTTGTGTTACTGACACAGAGAACCTGTGAACATGCTTCAATGTCGGTCTGTTACTCTCTGAACGTGCTTCAATGTTTGTATTACACATAGATTCCTGCTTCAAAATGTGTGTGCTACAGAATTTGCTTCAATGTTCGTTACTCATAAAACCTACTTTTAGTTAGTGTTACTGAAAGTGCTTCATGTTGGTGTTTTTCACAGAACTTGATTCCATGTTGGTATTATTCACGGATAGTGCTATAATTTCTGCTTGTTAATGATAGAATTTTGTTTCAAAATTTCGTGTGTCACTTTGAGAACCTTCTTCGATGTCGGTGTGTTACTCGTTTTAATGTCCGTATGTTACTCTAGGAACCTGCTTCAGTATTCATGTCACTCACTGAACGTGCTACAATACACTTTGCTTGAATGATCGTGTGTCACTTTCATAACCTGCTTCAGTGTTGTAGTGGCCTTCCAAAAACCAATGCTCGTGTTATTCATAGACCCTGTTTCCATTTTCGTGTGCCACGCATAGAACTTGCAACAATGGTTGTGTTTTGATAGATCCTATTTCAGTTTTCCTATTACTCATATTCCTCGCCGTGTTTATATGTAACCCATTGTAAACTATTGTGTTCTCCGGTGCTTGAACAGTGTTGGTATGAAAAACTATAACGGTACTCTACACTTGACATTCCCTGGTGCCTGAACAGTGTTGGTATGAAACACTATAACGCCCCTCTACACATGACATGCCCTGGTGCTTGAACGGTGTCCTCCCATTACGCAGACAGCCAGTTCGCAGACACCTTAAAACAACAACATTTACGGTTCAATGAACAGATTAGCAACCACCTGTTACCTACACATTATAATGGAATAGTCCACATAAAAACACAAGAAAAAAATCTAATATTTATTTGATAACAAGAATATAATATTTTATAAGAATATAATAGCTTCAAGTAGATATATCCTTTACATAGCAAAACTTTTATCCGTATTTATAGATCTAATTTATGTTTAGTTATAGCAAGTCCATTAAAGTTCGTGTCTTGTTAGACTAAGTTTTAAGAGGTTGGCCACCGCATCTAGGAACTGAAGAGGAGTTTTCTCGCCGCGACTCAGTGTGTCTTTGAGCCTCAGGATCCTGTTGTCGATCTCTCTGTAGACTCGCTTGCGACTTGGAGGAGCAGCCCCAAAGTCGAGTTGTCTCAGCTTGGCTCTGTCAGCCATCTCGATCCTCCGAATTACTTCCACAAAGCGAATTATATTGGGGTGGTGGTGTGGAAGGGATCTGTTCTTCCGACTATGAAAACCTTCCAAGTTGTTGTTGGTCCTTGGTCCTACAGTGTTGTGATGGTTCCAAAGTGACAGTGGGAATCGGGCATCATAGTCCACCCATGTGACGACCATGTAATCCTTGAAGTCCTCAATGCGGTCAGAGGCTGGGGAGGAGTCCATGGCATCAATCCAGGTGTCTTGAACCTGATAAAGTTTTATTTACACACAACCAAACCAAGCTTCTCAATAACGAACCTGTTACAAGCTCAGCCTCCTCCACTCACTAGACAGTGGACTGTTCCATTATACCCGTAGGTGTTACCCTAATTAACCTTCTTGCTCAGTGTCTGCCAACTGGGTGTCTGTCAAATGGGTGTCTGTCAAATGGGAGATAACCGCTTGAACAGTGTTGGTATGAAACACTATAACGCCCCTCTACACATGACATGCCCTGGTGCTTGAACAGTGTTGGTATGAAAAACTATAACGGTACTCTACACTTGACATTCCCTGGTGCCTGAACAGTGTTGGTATTAAACACTATAACGCCCCTCTACACGTGACATTCCCTGGTGCCTGAACAGTGTTGGTATGAAAAACTATAACGGTACTCTACACATGACATTCCCTGGTGCCTGAACAGTGTTGGTACGAAACACTATAACGCCCCTCTTCACATGACATTCCCTGGTGCTTGAACAGTGTTGGTATGGAACATTATAACGCCCCTCTACACTTGACATTCCCTGGTGCTTGAACAGTGTTGGTATGAAACACTATAACGGTACTCTACACGTGACATTCCCTGGTGCTTGAACAGTGTTGGTATGAAACACTATAACGCCCCTCTACACATGACATTACAAGTGCATTCTACCAGACAGTTATAGCTCTGTTGGGTTAAGTGAGAGTCCCTATTTCTTGCTCAGAGTCTCTCATTAATCAAACCTATCATACTTGAAAGTCTCAGGTGGCTAGATGCTGCCTATATTGATTCCCCTCAGTATCTGTATACTGACACTGCAGACCGGTGGTGTATGAAGACTATCAGACATCAGCTCTCTTCAAGGCATGCACAACTAGGCCTGGAGACAGAGAATGTCTTGTCTTCATGTAGCATTAAAACCGTTAATGTCCCTTTAACCGATTTACATATGGTAACATGTGGAATGTTATATACACAGTGAGTGAGTGAGTGAGTATGGTTTTTACCAGTATTCAAGTAATATGAATGCGGAGGACATCAGAAATGGGTTTCACGCATTGTACCCATGTGGGGAATCGAACCCGGGCCTTTAACCGTTAGCCCACCGCCCCGATATATACAGAGAGTGGTATGTTCACAGAGAGTGATATACAGACTGCAGAGAATGATGTATATAGAAACTGATACATACACACAGACATTCAACTGTATACACTGAAGCCGTACCATAGAAGGTCGAATATGATATTGTTGATACATTATTGGATACAAGCGACCAGAAGAACCTGTCACAAATACAGGACGCAACCATGCAATGTGAACTATGGTGTGAGGAGCGTTAGGTTTTCCGTGCTATGAATGAATATGGCACATGTGTACGAAGTCTGGTTTGCAACGTTCCTACTATATTCTTCTGATATATATTTCGGCAATGATTTTTATGAATGAGAATGTGGCAGTACATCATATCATATATCCATGGAAGCCTTAACGACAGATGCTGCAGTGCATTAACAGATTTTAAGCCACCAATGCCTGATTATAGGATGCAACACGACATGCGTGTATGCGATGTTATAACTGCGCCTCGAAAAATGACTCAATTGACTCGAAAAATGTTTATACCGCCAATCAATAATGCTCCCTGTTAAAACTGGATTATAGGTATCAACCCATTGTTGCAAATAATTGACCATGGAGAAGTGCAAGCACAAAATCGTTATCTTCCAAACGTTCAATCTGTCTTCAAAAGAGTCATAAGTTAATGGTTCGGTAAATTGAGAGAAAGGAGATTCAGCGAGGAAACTGTTGACACACTGCTGTGATGACGAGCAGTAACATATTACCAATTTGATTTACACACGCAAATATCGGGTGAAAACCAGTCAGGGAAACGTGTGCCTGCTAAAACATGCCGTTGTGATCTGGTCACAGAGACCAGACATCCTACTCGTTGTATCAACCAGACTTGAAAATGTCTCTGGTACCGAAATAGAACATAAAACAACCATCAATATAATTTTCCCATCAACACCAACTCAGTACATTTTTTCATTTTATAAGAATCAGATACATTAAGTTTACGAAAAGACTCCCTAAGAGTATGGCTTCTGTAGTATGTAACTTCCATTTTCTTCCTTTACGTATGACATTTGAATATACATACCGTAGAGCATTGCCCTTCAAAGTGACTATATTACACCGCCAGCCAGGACCAGACTACCTCTTCCCTTGAACTCAGACTTTGAAGTAAGTCTCCGAGTAGACGGTAAAACTGATGCAATGTAAGTGCAGGAAAGTCGGGACTAGACTGTTACGTGTGCGTATCTTAATTGCTTCCCGACGTAACTGCATTTACGAACAACGACCATGAGCACTGATGAAGCACTTGCAATCTACCACATACTGCGGACGGACGTGTTATAGACACGTTGCATTTAAGTATGATTTGAATAGTGCACTAAAGTTAAGAATAAATGCTTTAAAGACTCATTGGATTATTGCAATTAGATGTCTTTAAGTAACAGCCCAACAATTGTTCGATATAAGAGCCTTGTCGCCATACTAACGCTCCGTCTATTGGGAATATCACACTGTCGTCAGCCCGTCGCACGTAAGCGCCTTTTTAGCTGAATGTTTTCTGGAAATGTTTCATACTACCCATTAAGTAATCGATGAATTTGATCCCAGGTTTCCGGTACAATTTGCCGGCTTCTTCTCTCCAAATAGCTATCATGAAGATATTGCCTGCGTCACGTGATATCCAGAGGAAGCAATTTCATTGGTTCTTCCTGACACACCCAACTAAGCCAGATTAATGTCTTAGTGTATCTTACTTCTATGTACTTCAACAGCGACAGAACT